CCCCCCCCCCCCTTGGCATTTGACTGAAATTTTCAAATTTTGTACAACATGTTTTGTTTGAAATGATTTGGGGAGAATTTTGAATTATTGAAAAATAACTCAAAAACCAGTATCACTGTGCACCCCTCCCCCCCCCTTGGCATTAGACTGAAATTTTCAAATTTTGCAAAACATTTTTGATCACTTCCAGATTCAAAAGTTTGGAGTAATTTAGGGTAAAATTTTAAGATTTGAAAAATATGTTGTAAACCTACAAAATTGGGGTGCTGTGGTGTTTCCCCCTTGGCATATGACCGAAATTTCTGGTATGAACCAGCTAGAACATAAAACACTCACTAAAACAAAAATAAAACACTCACTCTATCAAGAAATTCCTCCTCCAGTATCTCGATGACATCTGGTGCACTGCCATAGCGATTGTTATGAAATGTGACTTGATCTCGTACAAGTTGTTTTAGAATAAACATGAGAAGTTCATTGTTCTCTCGACGGAACGATAAATACTGGGAGAATGACTGAAAACAGAAAACAAACTTAATCAATATAGGAATTGACATTTTGTACAGTTGAAACTAGAACTTAACCCATTGAGTCACATTGCACCCTGGCTTAAAATAAGACTTTTACTCTGTCTAATGCCAGATGATTTTACTTGTCAAGGGGACAGCACCACAGAATAAAGACATACACAAGTGTAACTTCCATTACAAAACCGTAAGGCGCTTTTTTACCGAAATAGCTGGCGGCCATGTTCTTAGCAAGCGCCCTAAAGAGAGGCATTCACCCCCCTGGAATATTAAATTTTCAATATGCTCTCAGGGGGGGGGGGACTGCCTCTCTTTAGGGCACTCGCTAAGAAAACATGGCGGACTGAAAAAATCCCTTATGTGAAATTAACCTGAAGTGAGATCTCTGTATGTACTTCCTCTGTGACAGCGCTTTCGCATAATGGTTAACGCACTGAGTGTCAGCACTCCCCATTTGACAAGTAAAATCATCTGGCATTAGACAGAGTAAAATAATAAGGTAGGGTGCATCACCGGTTAAAGGGTTAACAAGATGCATGGACAAATTAACCCACTGAGTGGCAGGACTCTCCCCTTGACAAGTAAAATCATCTGGCATTAGACAGAGTAAAATAATAAAGTAGGGTGATGACCAGTTAGAGGGTTAACAAGATGCATGGGCAGATTAACCCACTGAGTGGCAGGACTCTCCCCTTGACAAGTAAAATCATCTGGCATTAGACAAAGTAAAATAATAAAGTAGGGTGCATTACCAGTTAAAGGGTTAACAAGATGCATGGGCAGATTAACCCCACTAAGTGGCAGCACTCTCCATAGTAAAATAATAAAGTAGGGTGCAATGCCACTAAAAGAGTTATAATTGTTTAGTTTATAGTTAATTTAAAGGGGCAGTGTCACCAATTTTTGACCAAAAATCTCTTTATTCAAGGTCTGAACTGCCAATTTGAAAATAAACTTTATAAATAGGTTCAGTTATTATATACGAGTCATATTAAACAACTTTGAACTTTCACACAGCATGTAAGACGAAGTTTTCATACAAATTGACCTAAACTTGAAAAAGTGTCCGCCAACAATTAATCAAGATGTCATTTACAATCCATCTCAATGCTCGCCTAATCTCGACCATCCAGACTTCTGTACATGCTTTTTGTATTTGTTGTTTTATTTTGTGCTTACAACCATTCTTTTTAGGTTTTGTGCAAGATTCCTAAAGACTTGCGAAGGTCAAAATCGGTGACACTGCCCCTTTAAGTCTCGCGCCCATGGAGAGTCTGATTAGGATCAAAGTGAAAAGAGGCCTTTACATCAGAGGCAACTTAACATGGTGTCAACTGTTATAATCAATTAGCCTTTCTCACAATGACGAATATCCACCATTTTTGGGTGGCATCCAATTCTTGTTAACCAATGCTGAAAACAATGTGAAAAGCAATTTTTCAAAGTAAACTAACCATTTACAAAGAAAATTTACCATCATTTCTCAAAAAAATTTTAAAGAGTCGCTGTTATGTGGACTTATCTTGCAGACTTCGGCTGAAATGCTACCCAAAAATGGGAGCATGAGAAAGGCTAATTGGAAACCATGTTTACTAGCAGATAACTTTCTCACCTTTCGCATATTTCGCATGACGGAATATTTCTGTGTATCAATAAAGCTTTCTAACATCACTCGAATCGCCATATTTACATCATCTTCAAAAATATATTCTCTCAAATGCATCTTGGCATTGGCTTCTGCCATCCGAATCATTGACTCAATATGACGTACTGTGATAGGAACACTGCCAGTTGCCTGGAAAAAATTAAGAAGTGTTGAGACTTTTACAATAGAAATTTTTATGAAAAATGGACACTTTGATATAATTGTCTGTAATAGTACAACTTCTTTCTCCTCTATTAAAACCTACTTCTACAAAGTAACACTAGAGCTATTTATAGTGCTACGATATTATCCAGAGATGAATTTACAGGTGGGGTGGGTTGCTACAGTATTTTCATGATGAAGCAAAAAAATATTAGAGACAAAATGAGATACAGTAATTTGAGTAATAACATGATGCAAACTGTGAAAAACAATTATAGTTGAAATACAGTAGTCAAGCAAGTACTGCTGTATGTTGATAGGTGGGCGGTGCATGTGACCGACACAACTCTGCAGCAGAGCTAACAGAGCACCCCCCTACTAGGATCCACCTCTGATATCACCTTTACATTAATTTCTTTCAAAAAGCCTCTTGATCTAAATTCTAATGCAAACCTTGCTGGAAAACAAGCTTGCATAACACTTACCATAGATTCTCGTCTCAGATCGGCAAACATTCTGGCAATTTTGTCCTGGTCCATGTTATTCAACTTTGGATGTATTCTATCTTTAGCATATATAACATATTTCTTTAGCATTTCTTGAGACAACTGTTCAACACCTGTTGTTGGACTGGATTCCTGAATATAACAAGGATGTGACTTTAGTGACCTATATAGTAAATCATTACTTGGAGTTTATGGTAATGGTATACCCATCAAGCTGCAGAGCTTACTTATTGTCAAGTAAAATCGTCTGACGTTAGACAAGTAACAAAAATATAAGTAGGCCGCACCAGGGCACATTGTGGCTCAATGGATTAACTAGAGACATTAGAGAGGTTAAGATACCCCGGTTTTGGTGTACGGGTACAAGTAGTGTCATCTTGTTTTACTGATGTCTGTAATTTGATCATACTTTTTCTGTTTTCTTGCAATAGACAATGATATAATGCGAAAAATGTGCACCTTAATTACGAGTAAAGCTACAGACATCTACGAAAATATTGCTAACCAAAATCATGCTACCCGTACACCGAAACCGGGCTATCTTAACCTCTCTAATGTCAGATTTTTTGGTTAACCCATTAAGCTGGAGAGCTTCCCCATTATCGAGTAAAATCGTCTGGTGTTAGACAAGTAAAAAAAAAGAATAGACATTGTATAGACATAAAAAGTATAGACATAAAAAGTATAGACATAAAAAGTATAGACATTGTCAGATTTTTTGGCTAATTACCCATTGAATTGCATTGTGCACAGTAAAGCGCCCTAATTTAATTATTTTAAGCATTCTCAATTTGACTCTGTCTAATGTCAGACAATTTGACTCTGTCTAATGTCAGACAATTTGACTCTGTCTAATGTCAGACAATTTGACTTTGTTTAATATCAGACAATTTGACTTTGTCTAATGTCAGACAATTTTACTCCGTTTAATGTCAGACAATTTTACTCCTGAAGGAGAGAGTGCTGGTGCTCAATGTATTAAGGAAGGTGCATTAATTGCTTGCAGTGCACCCAATTTTATTATTTTCCTTTGTCTAGAACCAGACGATTTTACTCTTCAAGAGGGTTTTGTGCATTAATAGCTTAACTCAGGCAACTTGGAGAGAGAATACAAGAGACATGAACTTGAATGGAATGTGCCAGCATACGGCATGTACGTAGTAATAATATCAGAAAGCTGTGGATTGAGATTCATTCATGTACCTGAAAGCTACAAGTAAAACTTCAACGTTTCAAGTGAAGACCCTTTACACCCGTTTTCAAAATTACGCGACCTCCCTGAAAAATACTCTTACTTCAAATGTCAAGTTTTATGTCACAAAAACTGCTAAAAATAGCAAACGTAAACAACTGTCAAAAGACTAAACTTTTTTTTATACTAAATTTAATACCAAAACTGAACAAAAATGAGTTAGATAACTTAGATATACAAACTAATTAAAGCACAATACAAACCATCACAACAGAAATATGTGTTCGTGAATAATTTTTAAAGTTTGAAAAATAACAATTTATTCTGGAATTTAGCTGTCAGTATAAAACATGCGCGCTAGATTATAACGGTGATGTTATGATTTTGTGCCAAAATTTTGCAATAATTCTGACTAAAATATCTTGAAAATCATTGTAAGCCTGTTTATATAAAGCATACAAAGCATATGCATCGACAAGGAACCAAAAAACGCAAAGTTTAAACTTCATGACCGAATGACATAAAACTGACATGTCAACTCTAGCATTTCCGTCCATGGTCGTGTAATTTTGAAAACGGGTGTAATTGTCAGGCCTTCAAAGTTTTACTTCCATTTCAAGTAATTAAATTCCTGTCAACCCACAGCTTACAGGAGAGATGAACAACTTGTGAAACACTTACCATTTCTTCATCTTCATCTTTTTCTTCATTTTTTTTATTTGGATGATGTTTTACATGACTATTTACAACAAACTTTGCCAGTAATTCATCCTGAAATAAATTGAACTGTATGAGCCTCGAGTCTATACACTCGTCAAAGGGAAAGTTTTGGGCATTAATGGCTTAAACTCAACCTAACTTTATTGATACTGGATAGTTCTTTCAGTTCTAACTGTTCCCTTCACAGGTACAGTAAAATTAGGTCACAGAATAGAGACAAACAGAAGGTCAACTTCTTGGCTTTTCGTATGACTTTCGTTAATTCATCATCAAAATACTGATGCCATGGTCCTTAGCCAGTGTGCTTATAAGAGGTATTCACCCCCCTGATAAACCACCAGGGGGTGAGAATGTGTTTAGCCTGGCTAGGACCACACATGGCATCAGCATTTTGATGACAAATCATGGCATGACAGCAGTTGCGCTTTTTTAACTGAGTCGACTTTCTGACTGTCTTTATTCTGTGGCTTGGTATCCATATGATTGTAACGGTTGTGAAGATAGAGTCCAGAGACCACCACCACCTCATATATAAATCACTAGTACAGTGTTTTTATATTATAATCACTGTGCCTATTTTTAGTCCTAAACTGTTGTATTTTGGCTGTTGAGAAAGATTGTGACTCAATCTTCGAAAGTTTATGCTCCTTTGATCAGTATGCACCTTCACCTTACTAAATTAACTTGAAATTATTAATTCAAAACATAATCATTTGTAAAATCTTATATACATTTTCCTTGTTTTGTAAATAGTGCAGTTTCTGAATAAATCCTGAAATCTTTGTGACCATTACGATCATATATGGAAACCAGGCTTAGACACATCTGGAGAGAAAATGCTTAGTAGACTCAAAATGCATGCAGACAAGTACATCGCAGGAATGGAAACCGCATGCTGTTAGAGAAAACACTTTACCAAAATTTTTTATAAATAGTTGTTACCTGAATTGGATCAACAAGATCTCGTACAACACAGAGAATATCAAATCTGGATAATATTGGTTCACTCAAATCAACCTGTAACAAGAATGCATTGTGGTTTTGTAAACTTAATACACTTTCATCAGACATAATAAATGTAAACATAATACACTTTCATTAGAGTGTGACAGCGTAAATTTCTTTCAAACACAAACTTACGTTTTCCGAGAAATTCATGGAAGGATCATAGCGGCCACCAATAGGATTTGCAGCAGCAATAATTGAACATCGAGCCTTAGAAAAAAAAGTACACAAATTTATTTATACTGGATAGCTCTTAGCTATTTCTAGACTGTTCTTTGTAGAGGTTCAGTACGTCAGACACACTCCTTAATAAAATTACTCCAGTGTTCTTACAGGAGGACACCAGGATGCAGGGAGATATCCTGGAATGATCAGATTGGAAGCACTCTTCTCATAATGCAGGAATCAAACCTCAGGATTGCTCTGTGCTCCAGGAAAGAAATGCGACATACCTGTAAAGAGGTGACAATTCCAGCTTTCGAGATGGAGATACTCTGTTGTTCCATTGCTTCATGAATACTGGTTCTGTCTGCATCGTTCATCTGAAAATGATAGAGACTTAGGGTTACTTTCAATACCTTCGATTCATATTACAACAAGAGGAAACCTAAACAACTTTATTTATACTGGATAGCTCTATCAGTTCTAAACTCTTCTTCCTAGAGGTCCAGTAAGGATCATCTCTTATTGATCCAGTGTTACTACAGGAGGAAACCTAAACTAAACTAACTTTATTTATACTGGATGGCTCTATCAGTTCTAAACTGTTCTTTGATCCTAGAGGTCCATGCAGTAAGGATAATCTCTTATATTGATCCAGTGTTACTACAGAAACCTAAAATAAACTAACTTTATTTGTACTGAATAACTCTATCAGTTCTCACTAGAGCTCCAGTAAGGGTGATTCCTTGTTGGTCCAGTGTTACTATTGTAAGAAACCAAAGTACCCATACAAGCAAAACATACTCGCTTTGAACTCTACTTACTTTATCAAACTCATCAATCATACACACTCCACGGTCCGCCAGCACAAGAGCACCAGCCTCTAATGTCCATTCCTTTGTAACAGGATGTCGTTGTACATAGGCTGTCAATCCCACAGCTGAAGCACCTTGACCAGTAGTAAATACGGAGCGTGGAGCTGTTTTTTCAATATACTTTAAGAACTGAGATTTAGCTGTGCCAGGATCACCACAAAGTAACACATTGATATCCCCGCGGATTTTATGTTTGCCACCAGGATCTTTTGCTTCTCCTCCAAACAACGTCAATGCCAATGCTCTTTTTATGTCATCATGTCCGTAAATAGAAGGCGCTATACTGGCAATTATCTAGTAAGAGAAAGTAAGAAATTATCCACTACATACGTAAAAATCTCACAACTTATCAACAAGATGTGTTTGCAACAGGCTTGTAGCAAGCTTGTCAACAAGTTGTAGCAATGTTGTTATTTTATCAAGTTGCTACAAGGTTGTCACTCACAATTTGTTGACAAATTGTTGAATTGCAGGATGATAACAAGTTGTTGGGACAACTTTAACAAGTCTACTGAGCTCAACAACCTTGTAGCTACAAATTGCTATCCAAATGAAGCATATTGTATGGCGAGGGCAACCTGGAATATACCCTAATAGATCATGCGATTCTATCTACATCCAGCTTACCCTGTCCCCAATTTTAGGATCTTTGGAAAGTGTGATAATTTCCTTAATATCTTCATCTGTGAGACTTGTGATTGCCAACTTATCTTCTTGCTTTGTGATATGGTTTGCTTCAATCACTGTCGCAAATACTGGGAAACCATGAGCAATATTCAATGAACCATCATAATTATTGTGGTAGATACCCGTTAGATCCTGAAAAAGTTTTTAAACTTTATAAACTTACTGTATAAACACAGTTGACTGTTTCAATTCGGACATAACTAGAATGTTTAAGGCTGAGTAAGCCAGACTCCAGACCCTGGACATCTCTAATCAGTTTCAGTTATATTAACAGATTGAGTGGCAGCACTCTCCCCCAGGGCAAGTAAAATTGTCTGGCATTACACAGAGTAAATAATAAAGTAGGGTGTATTGCAACGTAACAGGGTGCATGGGCAGGTAGTATGATTAACCCAGTGAGTGGCAGCACTCTCCTGCTGACAAGTAAAACCATTACATAGAGTAAGGCCTAAAAAAAAAAACCTGCATGAGGTTCCGGTTTCATATCGCGAAAAAATTAGGGTCGGTAGGTCAGAAATAATTTTTTTAAATATTTTTTTTCATGGTTTTTTCACTAATTAGTGTGACAATAGACGCCATTTTGGCAGCAGCCCACGACCACCAGGAGAAAATAGGGTTGCACGGTTAATCGCATTGAAAAAATAATAGGGTTGGTCGGGAACCGGAGCCACAGGCATTTTTTAGGCCTAAATATACAGAGTAAAATATTAAAGTAGGGCACATTGCCACTTAAAGGGTTAACTACCCTGGACATCTCTAATCACTCAATTTCAGTTATTAATTTAACCCAATAAGTGTTAGCACTCTCCCCTTGATGAGTAAAATAATAAAGTCAGGTGCATTAGGGTGCAATGCAACTTATTTTTAACTAGACACATGGGAAGATAGCCTGATTAACCCATTGAGTGCCAACGGTCTCCCCTTGACAAGTAAAAAGCACCCTACACTATTATTTTACTACATTGTATCTGTAACACTCATGAAGGGAGAGAGCTGCCACTCAATGGGCCAAATTGCAGTACTGATCAGAATAATGCTACCTGAATTGTTGGTTATTGTACTATTGAATGTAGTCAGTACTATTGAATGTAGGGTGATGCGGTTTCGTAAAATAACCGAAACCGAGAATCGTCACAAAATAACCGAGATAACCGACTCTTTTAATCAATGAAATTATTTTGACAAAAATAAACAACATGCCTTGTGTGTTATCCACGTGACGTCTTCGCAGACGTCCGCCTTTCTCTCAGCTAATTCAATGGTAAAATTGATTTCACTGTGTGATTTCAGTGCAGTAATAATGTTGTGTTGCATAGAAAAAGTATTGATCAACATAAATTATGCTGGTTTGCAAACTTATTTTTAAACATTTGAATTTTACAGGCATTATGTGAAAAAAAGTGCCAAAAATATAGAATGTTACATCTTGTTAATCCTGATTATTTTTAAGAATTTTTAAGAAAATATACCATTTTTGTTTTTATATGTCAATTAAGACTAAAACTAATATATAATCACAAGAATAAAGTTCATAGCATATTTCCCTCAAATTTTATATAAGAAATGGTATTCTGTGGTACCGTGGTATTCTGTGGTACATACACCTGTACATGCCATTGTAGGTAGTGCCAATTATACGAAAACTTTAGATTGATAGGGATACAACTACCTGAAAAATACAACAAGAACTTCAACATTTCAAGCAGTTCTCCTTGTATTTTTTTAGTTTATCCCTATTAACCCACCGAGTCGCATTGCACCCTGATGCACCCTACTTTGATTTTACTCGTCAAGGGGAGAGCGCTGGTGCTTAATGGGTTAACTGGCCTATTTGCCCTTGTGTCTAGTTAACCCACTGAGTCGCATTGCACCCTGATGCACCCTACTTTAGTATTTTACTCTGTCTAACGGCAGACAATTTTACTCATCAAGGGGAGAGCGCTGGCGCTTAATGGGTTAATCCAAAGCTTTCTTATCAATGTTGGCTATATATTGCAGCTATAAACATATAGTCCAGGGTCAGAAATTTGCAGTATACAGGACTGGTACTTATGGTACAAGTATCCAGAAGTGGGATATTCCAGGGCTGCAAATTACTGTCGGACATCGGACAATGTCTGACTAAATTTGGCAAATGTCCGAGCAAAAGTAATTTTGATCGGACATTGGTCAGATCACAAAAAAAATTGTCACATTATACATTTTTTTGCTGTGACAAAATCCAATTGCAAATTCACTCAGTTTGCATTTTGCAATAAAATTTACGAGGCACTCTAGCATTTTGCTTAACGTTGCGCCGGAATGGCTATACATACTTGTCTCGTGACTTATATATATTTTGTGACGTATATATGTCCGACCAAATTTAGTGATGTTGGTTTTTGTCTGACCAAATTCAAGTTATGTCCGACCAAAATTAAAAGTGATCGGACAACTGTCCTGTCAAGTCAAATATTTATTTGCAGCCCTGGATATTCGATTCTTAGGGGGGATACTAAACTTTGAATCCTGGTACCCAGTTGGATATTGAGAAAAAATACAAATTTCAGACCCTGATATACAGTTAAGGAACTGTAATCACAACCAGTCCTGCACCAACACTGTTTACAGTGGACTATACTGTATGAAAAATTTCAACTTACAATTTCATCTCCAGCTTTGCACGAGTCGACCAGATCTCCCAACAGAATGACATCCTTTGAACGAGGTAGTCTGCCAGCTGCAACTTTGCTTGGGCTTTCTTGAATCTTGATTCTCTGGTAGTTTTGATAAACAGTCTAGTAGTAGAAACATAAAATATTTTAAAAATAAAGCTGCATAGAAATTACAATTACAGTCACTAATAAGAATACCCACAAATTGTCAGGGATGGTCAAAGATTTTCACTCAATGGTCACCCATTTGCTTTGGCCCTGTGGTCCCCCCTTTGGAAAGTCATCTTGTGTTAAACAAAGACAGATCATAAAGTAGGGTGCATCAGAGCACAATTTAACCTAATGCATCAACCATGAGCGGATCTCTCTAACCTAGTGCTGTGCAAACTCCGGTTTTTCATCTCCGGCCGAATTACAGCTCTGAACTCTGGCTCCGGCCACATCATATAATATTAAATAAATGTTTTACAATCAGAGAACATTTATTAATATTATTATGAATAACCCTTTTCGCGCTTCCTAATTATCAGATAACATAACTCAGGAAACAAAACAGTGAAAACACTTAACCACACAGAAAATATCTATATGGGAACCAGCCTCGAAAAATCTTTGACACAAGGCATGACGCGAGGCATGACACTAACACTCTCAGACTCCACAGCGCAATTGTTCGCACGCAAACAAAGTACTCTGTCATTTTCAAAAGGTTGATATTTATTTGTTTTGTACTTTTTCGTTATCTACAAGGCATTAATACACAGACTACAGTATGTAGCGCTAAGTCAGATGGCTTCATGAAAGCATGACGTTTGCAAGTTGCGATCGTATTACAGCTTTTCGATGCTGTTCCTGTGGGCTGTGGCAGTTTGAGCCTATGATGAATTCATTAACAGCAATTGGCAGTTTGCAGTAACTAACAATCGTTTGACATTTGTCTCATTTCATGTTGTTTTCTTGTCATTTTGGCGGAGCTGGGAAAACGTAACTCCAGCTCCGGCATACAAAATTCTGCTCCGGCATCGGAAAAACCACCGGAGCTCTGGCAGAACTCTGGCTCCGGCAACTCCGGTGCACAGCACTACTCTAACCCCTCTAATAAAGTGTTCAACCTCACCAAAATTTCGGTTCACCTCCTATTTTATGTGAAAGGCTTTAACCCAAATGCCTAACCCCTGCCGAAGCTCACTGAGTGGCATTACAGTAAAATTATATAAAAGTTAGTCCTTACCTGTTCCATGTTAATTTCAAAAGGTCCTCGTGACTGGCACTCAGGACATGTTCCAGGTTTCACTTCTTGATTCTGGGACTGGAAGAATGGTCCAAGGATAAATGAACATTTGTTACAATCGTATTTCACCATGCTTAGTTGTGGTAGAACTCCTGTACTACTTGACACTACACCACTTGTTCGTATTAATTGGTTCAAATGTAGTTGCCTGCAATCATAAAGGTAAAAACCATTAACATTCCCTCCCTTGGTAAGTAAAATCATTTGGCTTTAGACAAATATATTAATTAATTACCCACTGAGTGGCAGCACTCTCCACCTGACAAGTAAAATTGTCTGGCATTAGACAGAGTAAAATAATAAAGTGGGGCACATCTGGGTGCACTGCCACTTAAAGGGTTAGCAGGGTGCATGGGCAGATAGTCTGATTAACCCATTGAGTGGCAGCACTCTCCCCCTGACGAGTAAAATTGTCTGGCATTAGACAGAGTAAAATAATAAAGTGGGGTGCATCTGGATGCGTTGCTACTTAAAGGGTTAACAGGGTGCATGGGCAGATAGTCTGATTAACCCATTGAGTGGCAGCGCTCTCCCCCTGACAAGTAAAATCATCTGGCATTAGACAGAGTAAAATAATAAAGTGGGGCATATTGCCACTTAAAGTGAAATAATATAGTGTGACATCAAGGTCATCATGGCTATTACCACCTTAAACCATTGAGTGTCAGCGCTCGCTCCTACACACGTAAAATATCTGATATGTAAAATATAGTAGATCACGCCATAGACCTATTCTAGGGGTGACACCACAGCCACTACAGTCCCATTCCTGGGATATGACACTACAGTCTCATTCCTGGGGCCATGCTAATATGCCAAATCTAATAGAGGTCACATATCTCTCAAAAAAAGGTGTACCCTTCTACTACGATCATAATTTCAATATTGTCAATATGTCTCATAAAATTATGAGAAAATATTTTACATTAAAAATTTCTACTACAGCTTGACATACCTGAGTGAGCGAATTTCTTCCATCAAAGGCAGTTCAGCAATCCTGATATGAATCTCACTTGCAATCTGGTCATATCTTTCATACATAGATAACACAACCTCCTTGGCTGCCTCGTCAAATATCTTCAACATTTCCGCTGGGGCTTCGGGTAAGAAATAAGCCAAGACTTGTAACTGTTGTTCACATGCCAGTACATTGTAATCAATTGGTAAACTTTGAAGGTTTCCTGGGGGAAGAAAGAAGTTCAAATTATAGCCAGAACTTATGTAAGGTACAACTCGGATACAACCCATTAAGTGGCAGTGCTCACTGACCCCTTGATGAGGAAAATTGTCTACCATCAGACACTGACAGAGAAAAATAATAAAGTAGGACACATTTGCAATTGAAAGGGTTAACAGGATGCATTGAAAGATTAGTCTTATTAATTCCCATTGAGTGGTGCACTCTCACATTGATGAGTAAAATTGTCTGGCACCAGACAGAGTAAAATAATAAAGTAGCAAGGGATTTTTCAGGGCCGTAACGGCTCCAAAAACTCAATCTTGAATTGAGTTTTGAAACTCAATCTTCTCACCAAAAATTTCAGTGCAGTAAAAATGAAGTTGTTTGAGCTAAATTTGTGGCATGTGGAAATTAATTTTCAGTTGGAAACCCAATAATTAAGAAAAAATGGCTGGAATTCATCTCACAACACAAGAAAAGGTACACATATTCGCCATTTTAACCAGTTTATAGTGTCCCTTAGTGCCCCTGCTTTAACACATTGCGTCTCAACTACATTTATTGAGGGGGGGGGGGCTGCAGCCACCCCAACTGTTCAGCTAAACTCAATCTTCTCTGCAAAAATGGACCGAAGAGAAAATCCTGAAAAAAACCCTGAGTATGACACATTGCCACTTGCAAGGTTAACAGGATGCATTGAAAGATTAGTCTTATTAATTCCCATTGAGTGGCAGTACTCTCCCCTTGATGAGTATAAAATCATCTTGTGTTAGACAGAGGAAAATGATAGAGTATATATAGTAAGGCTCATGTACCCACATTGCCAGATAATATGATCATAACTTATTGAGTGGTAGCACTCCTTGATGAGTAAAATTGTTTGAGAACAGAATGGGTGCATCAGGGGGCACTGCCACTTGAAGGGTTAATGTACAACAATATATTGTCACCACCTTACCTTCACACATCAATTTAATTTTGTCTCTGTAAACACTCTTTCCTTGGTGGTCAACAAAGGTCTTGAGAAATTGTTTAAATCTGTTTTTAATTTCAAGTCTTGGTGCTTGAAGACAGACCCACTCTCGTACAGAATGTCCCTTCATATCCTCCAAGTTCTCTATACTCTCAATCATATCCTCGCCCATATCCATGTCACCATGAGCAGCTTGTTCTGCAAGACGACGGCGACGTGATGGGTGTGGCATGTCATCCTCTTCATCAGTTTCATCTACAAAGGATTAAAAGAGAAACATGATAAATTTCAAATTGTTCCCTAATTAGAAAGCCAACAAGAACTGCCCATGTTACTTAACAGGATGAAAGCTAAACTGAATTTAACCCATTGTGCCTAATTTTGTTATTTACTCCAGATTTCTAATACCAGACAATTTTACACATCAACACAGGGTTCGAATTAATTCTGAAAAAATGGTTCGTGAATTAATTTTTTTATTTTAAGGAAATTTTAAGGAATTTTCAAGGAATTTTCTCTAATTGGAAGTTAAAAAGTGGAAGCACTGCAATTTTCAAATATATATAAATATACATCGCAAACTCGCAAAGAAATAGAATTTTGGGTGGAATTATAATCGTTTCTAAGTACAATCAACAACAATATCTTCAGAATATATGATCCTTCATCACATTTACAAGGAACTGAATTTATTATTGTATATTTTTTATCAATTTGAGAGACTTTTGATTCATGATTTTGATCAATTTCTATGAAATTGGGTTCGTGAAAAATGAAAATTGATTCGTGATTCACAAATCACGAACCGTTATCACAGAATAAGGTACACAGAAGGTCGACTCGAGTAACGCTGCCACGCCATGATTCATCATCAAAATGCTGACGCCATGGTCCTAGCCAGTGCGGGTTTGAGAGGCATTCCCCCCCTGGACATACGCCATTTTGAATGATATCAGGGGGGTGAATGCCTCTCAGACGCGCACTGGCTAGGACCATGGCGTCAGCATTTGATGACGAATCACGAGTTACGCCAAAATCATAGGAAAATCATAGGAAAAACGAAGAAGTTGGCCTTCTGTGTACCTTATTCTGTGCCGTTATTTCGAACCCTGCTGAACAGGAAAATGCTGGCACCCCATGGGTTAATGTATATTGGATAGCTCTACCAGTTCTAAACTGTTCTTTCTGGAGCCAGGAGGTCCAGGAAGGATCATCTCCTAGGTAGTGATAGTAGAAGAGGAAACCTAAACTAAATTAACTATCCATTGTAAACTATTTTTCCTAGATAAATTTAGATATAGGAGGTCTAGTAAGGATGATCCCTTATTGATCCAGTGTTACTACAGGAGGAAACCTAAACTAAACTAATTTTATTTATATTTGATAGCTCTATCAGTCCTAAATTGTTTCTCCTAGAGGTCCAGGAGAAACCATGCAATCACAGTCAAACTATATAGAGTGACTCCTCTTACTGTACATGTGACTGAGGTAAAATTATACCAAGTCAAACAGCATATTGTAAGAATTGAACCCCAGTCACAGAAGTGGATGGCACATACAAAAAGCACTGTGCATGAATTATGCTCTTATTGTCTCAAGTAACCCATTGAGTGGCAGCACTCTCCCCCTGACATGTAAAATCATCTGGCGTTAGACAGAGTAAAATAATAAAGTATGGCACATTGCCACTTAAAAGGTTAACAGGGTGCATGGGCAGATAATATGACTAACCCATCGAGTGGCAGCACTCTCCCCCTGACAAGTAAAATCGTCTGGCATTAAACAGAGTAAAATAACAAAGTAGGGCACATGGCCACTTAAAGGGTTAAATATCTCTCATACCATAAAGAAGTCCTCTCCTCAGTCTCCCAGATGTAGCAGCTTCCTCTCTATCTCTCTTCCCCATGACTTTCTCTGCTTCACGTCGAGCTCCAATATCTAACTCATCATAGTCTTCTTCATCAAGAGCTGTTGGGTCATACACATCCAGCCGAGGGATTGCTCGGTAGTCACTAAAAGAGAAGTGTTCCTTTTTCAATTTCATTCCCCAATGGAAAATTAACCCCCCTACTTGTCAAAGAGATAGTGCTGGTGCTGAATGGGTTAATCAAATTTGTTCCCCATGTATTAATTGTATCCTATGGTTATGTGCCCTACTCTATTATTTTACTCTGTCTAATACCAGACAATTTTACTCATCAAGGGGAGTGCTGGCACTCAATGGCTTAATCCCTTAAGCACCAGCGCTCTTCCTCTTGATGAGTAAAATTGTCTGGTGTTAGACAGAGACACAGAGTAAAATAATCTGGCATTAGACAGCATAAATTAATAATGTAGAGTGCGTCAGGGCACAATGCAACTCAATGGGCTAACTAGACACATGCGCAGATAGACCAGTTAACCCATCAATTAAGCACCAGCGTTCTCCCCTTTATAAGTAAAATAATCTAGCATTAATTTAAACAGATTGAGTAAAATAATAAAGTTGGGCGCATTGACTTAAAGGGTTAAGTTGCATTGTGCTCTTATTATTTTACTCTGTTCAATCAATTTTACTTGTCGTCAAGTTATCCCACATTTTCTGATATAATTTTGGCAAGCGTAAGCACAAGCATATTTTCCTTATGCTTCTGTTGTTGATTATAATGCTTGTGCTGTATCTTGTGTCATAGTGAGGACACAGTACATGAGCAGGGGCGAAACTAGCCACTTTTAATTAGGGGGTGCCTGGCAGAATTGCCCTGCCAAAACCAATGATGCCCTGCAGCACTAATACAATACATCACTAAGTTGAACTGCTCAACTGCCGATGCCAGTAAGTTACTTAATTTAATTAATAACTCTACATTCTATTATTTAAAATCTTTGATTGTCCTGCCAATCAGGATGGCAATCAACCCCCTCAAGTTTCACCCCTGACAGTGAGAACAACAAAAGCATAAGAACATAAAAGCATAAGAACATCAAAGCATTCTGCTTGCTTAATGTGCTTATGCTTATAGCAAAGTGAATACACGGTTTATAGTTTGCCAATGCCATTACTAGTGTGGGAATGACTGCATAAACTACACTTTACTTACTCTTCCATATTGTCTCCCATCAAATCAATTCCATCATCAGCCTCCTCTTCCGCTGCACTTCCATCATTTCCCAAAATAGCATCTGACTCATCCTCAAATGGAGGCAAATTCCGAGCAGGACTGGACGTCAAGGCATCCGTACGATCGTAACGGGCTCCCGCTTCATCTTGCGACTCCCTGGCAGGGCTTGTTGCCACCCCAAGACTACTTGATGATTCATCCTGAATGGTAAAAGAGCATGTTATAAAAGGTATAATAAATGTATATAAATTTCCACTTTATAATCTCCATGTACAAGACCCTTCAATTATTCAATCAAGTGGATGCCAACAAAATCGTTATATTTACCCATATCGTAAACCTCCAACTATAAGCCCCCCCCCCGTGTATAAGCCCACCATATGTACTAATGCTCACCTCATCCCAAATATAAGCTCCCCCAAATATAAGCCCCCCAATTAATATAAGCCCAGTAATCGCTGCTAAATACACGTTTATTTCCCTGTTTATGACCGACTTGTTTATTACAAACACAAAAGATCGTCCATGTATAAGCCCCCCCCCGCGTATATATACCCCCCCTTTTATAAGCCCATCAAAAATCGCTTACGAAAGTATATAAGCCCAGGGCTTATAGTCGGAGGTTTACGGTAATCTAAACATCGCAGTACCATAACACACGTAAAAACGCACAAGTTGTTACAGGTCTGCAAACAAGTTGTTACAAATCTGTTCACAAGCTGTCGACAAGTTGTGTTCACACTGCTTGTTCCCAGTTGTTGTAACAAGTTTGGAACAAGCTGTTAACAACTTGCAACGAGCTTGATGGCATTATCAGACTTGTTACAAGGTTGTTCCAACAAGTCTGATACATTCATGATATAACAAGATGTTACAAGGTTGAGGACACAAGGATGTAACAATATTGTTGTATCATGACTGTATTGGACTTGTTACAACAACCTTGCAACAAGTCTGATAATATCAACAAGGTTGTTACAAGATGTTAACAGCTTGTTCCAAACTTGTTGACAACTTGGGACAAGCCAGTGCGAACACAACTTGACAGACTTGCTACAAGATTTTTATGTATGTAGTATACTATATAGGTTAAACTATGCTGGGTAAACGACAGTAGAAAACTTGCTAGACACACATACACAATACACATATAAACATACAAGAGCAGGTCATATTAAAATTTTAAATACCAAAAGCCTTAGCCTAACATCGTAAAATAAGGAAATTATAACTCATAACCAAAACGAACAACTTAGACATGGAAACATTGGTATATAAAATTGTAAATATATATCGAATTACTGCTATTTTGAAGAGAATTAAAACCGCGTGGTAATTTAAATACCAAGCTCGTGTCAAAATAAATTTAGCCGAACAAGTTTCAAGCGTAAATCACAATCAAAATTACGCTAGTTTTTTTAACAATTCGGTAATTATTTTGATACGAATACACGGTTTAAATTAAACATAGAACTAGTAAAACAAGTCACACAAATAAAGAAATAATCTAGTACAATTCTACAACATAAACACTTGGACAATAAATACATGTAATTAACACAACAAATTTGGCACCGAGAAATTTCGCAAAAATTCTTCGGTTTAGAAGCCAAAATTACACGAATCCGTCATTAAATAACTCTAGACACTTCTAAAAGTATTTATATTACTTGAAAGTTCAAAAATATATAAAAAATAATAAACTTACGGCCATATTTTCCTACGGAGTTAGAAATTTAAATCCTTCCTCCTCGGTTGTCGCTGCCACAGTTCACGTGATCAAAATTTTCCCGCTCTTTTCGAGGCAATTAAACCGGAAATGACGCACCGGACAGTAGCCTGCGAATAGGCGCCTAACCCTAGGGGGGATTCAGGGGAAGAAATGGGAAAATATAGGACTCAGGGGGATGGGGCAAGTTCGAATTTGTTTCGAACTATAAATTTAACAAATTTGAAACATCTGATCTTTCGAACATTCCGAATAATTTACGTATTTTTTTAATACAATGTTTATGTATTCATTATGTACCAGTGTATAATACCATTTCTAACTTTGTATATTTTAACAGCAATAGACCAGTACTAAAAAATTATATGTCCGTGTTTAATGTCGGTAAAAAATTTAATTGAATGAAGAATTGAATCTGGGATGGTTTAACTTTACTGGGTGTATTATTACATGTATTATTATTTACTGGGTGTGTTTGTGTGTGGGGGCAGCAGGGGTTCTATTTTTCATTATTAAGCAAAAAATATTAGACAACAAATGAGATACAGTAATTTGAGTAATAACATGATTATATTAAGCGAACTGTGAACAGCAAATTACAATTCAAATACAGTATGTAATGTTGACCAACGCGCACATGACCAACATGCGCACATGACCAACACAGCTTGGCACCAGAGCAACACCAGATCATGTTAAAATTAGTACAACACATATATTATATAATATTTGTATCAATTAGCATTCTACTTCTCATCTTGATGCCTCAAACATTAATCTAAATATACTACAATATGGAAAGTATTAATGGTTACCTTTACTTTATGTCCTTTTACGTCCTGGTAATACCTAGAATGTCCATATAAGCTGTCCTGCTTTAATTTAGGCTTCATTTTTTGGCTTCATTTTTTGACAGTATCTGTCCAGTCTTTAATGAGATCATTTTCAAATCTGTGCAATCATTTCTTTTCATGGCTGAACTGATCTGATAACCCTGTCAAAAAATGAAGCCAATTCAAGCACGATTTGGGGCAACTCCAGTTTTTTGTCACAACCAAGGCCGGCGAGAGGGGGGGCAGAGGGGGCAAAATACCTGGGGCCCGGAGTGCTTAGAGGGGCCCGGAAATCTCGGTAAAATGTTCGTATCGTTTATCATTGCTTTATATTTGTCCTAAATGAAATACGCCTACTTGCACACTATTCGCTGATCATCGTGATCAATCGTAAAACGTGACCAAATGTGAAATAATCGTTTTCTCAGCAAAAACAGTTAGCTGAACATTGCATTTTTATCAGTCATGCGGCGATTTCTTGCAAGTAATTGGCTGGTAATTGTCTCGTTCGTTGCGATTAAAAATAGACTTTGGCGTGGCCATGAGCCAGCGGGCCGGAGAGGGACAGGGGGCCCGTGTTCACAAATTTGTCATTTTGTCCTGGGGCCTGTGGTTGGCTCTCGCCAGCCTTGGTCACAACCACCTGTGCAAAAATTTCCACATTCTGAGCAAAGGAATCTTTCCAAGTGTTCATCCAGAGAAATTATTTACAAAAAGTTTTATTTTTCCCAATGTCTTGATTTCCTCTGTGGAACTATTTTCAAAAACTTGACGGTTTATTGCAAATGTCCATCTTATATGTCAGCTGCAGAAATGCATCTGTGTAGTTGTTTTTGCAAGCTTTGACATTCTGTGTTTGCTTGTTCATTTCCAATTAAACTAAAGTACACGCCTGGCATATAAAACTTTTTGTAAATAATTCATCTGGATGAACAAAAACAAACCAACGAATAAGGCTGGATTCATATTATAAACCTAATATAAAGACCCTTCTGGTTTTGCATGGTGAATAATGATATCCAAGTTTGAAACCAGGTTTTTTTGAGACACAACATTAATTTATTATTTATTATTATTGTTAATTATTTATTATTAGTGTTAATAATATACAAGATCTACACTAGGGGATCGAAAGTTCTGCAAAGAATAAATTTATGTGGTGTTTCCACAAAGAAGTGTCTCAAACGTCTTCAGGTAATATGTATTATATATTGGCCTATACTGGGCACCACATTAGGGTGCAAAGCTGGGAAACTGGTACTGTGATAAGCTACCATTTTAAATCGAGACAAATTCATTATTTTCGTCCGGAGTGGAGGAAGTGACAAAACTGGACTCGGTAGAAATATTTCCATTCCCAGACTTACTATCTTCAGACAATGTCAAGCTTTTAGCAAAGTCCTCCGAGCACACAACATCAACTAACGGAATGCTTTGAGTCGTTGAACAACTACGCATCGATATGGAACGCTGCCTGCTTGAATCCACTTCTACATTGAACTCTTCTCGCTGTTTTTTACAAGACAATAACCGCAGGAAGAGAAGACGAAAATCCCTTGTCATTGCAATGTATATGAGGGGGTTCACAGTGGCTGCAAAGTGAGGGGTATTTCCTAACAGCCAATCCACAACAGCAGGATAGTTTGGGTGATTTTCCAAGAAGGCTTCTCTCAGAGTGGCGATCCAGAAACTCCCCCAGAGTAGGTAGGTGGGCAAGATGGCGACCAGAATGTTAATTGCGATTCGGAATTCCTTCATGACCATACGGAACCGACGGTTTGGGGTCGACTGCTTCGGGACGTGATGCACTTGCCGCCAAACTGCGCAAAATATGCGATAATATGACCAACTCGTGATTAGAATTGGCAACGCAAATGTGAGAGAGAATAGGCACGTGATATAGATTCTGCTGTACATCTCTTTTACATCGTGGTTAATTACCACGCGCGAATATGACGTAAAAAATGTAATCATGGAATAGGACCACACTATAAGCACCACCACAAGCGCACGTGAATGGGTCGTGATTGATTGGTACCGCAGTGGTACAGTTACTGCAAGACAGCGATCGATACTGACGCATGCAAGACTTGTAAGTGACGCAGACGATGAGAAGACTTCGATTGAAACTAGAACGCTTCTTGTCAACTCTCTCTGGTGCTCACTCATAGAAACTTTTGTCGCCGCGAAACTCATCCAAATTGTAAGAGAAAGCAAGAGGAAGATATCGGCAACACTTAACTGGAATATGAAATAATTCGTCACTGTCCGGAGTAGTTTCACTTTACAGAATGCAATGATGATGAAACAATTCGCTGTGATACCCACGATTATAACACATAACGAGACTATTACGACGGTTCGATAGAAACCTGGAGTTATTTCGTCTCCTGATGATGTACAGTTGTCCATCTCAGATGGTTCGGCTAAAAATATGGATGAAAAATAAAAGATATAAGTAGGTTGTTTGTATAAGCCCCGGTCAAACGTGGATAAGAGTTAATGAGAGTTGGTAGTCATGCATTGTTACGGAAGACATTTCAAGATCTAGATTAACAAAATATTAAAGGTTCAAAATAAGGTTTGGTGATAGAGTTGGGAAAGCATTAAGAACTGACAACTCTCCTTCTCGGGCTTTATTTATTTTAAATCTAAAGCTATAGAATAGATCAAATCAACAATTTAATATAACATTAGTAAGATTACACTTGTTTGTTGGTTGTTGTAGTCTATGTTGTAGTTATTTTATAAATCTCAGGCTATGGGCGCTTTCCATTTAATGTCCTGCATGACCGGTCAGACCCGAATTCTTGTCTCTGTATCAATGGAAAGATCTGGTCTATGTTTCTCAAATATCTAGTGAAAATGGACCTCATTCTAATGTTATCTAAATTTTCCTGTCAGATAGGTCCGAAGCCCAAATGTTTTGTGTTCCATTCAACATTTTGACCGTTCTGACCGGTCTGGCCGTGTTAATGGAAAGCGCCCAATACTGATGAAAACAAAACAGTTTGGTAAAACAGTTTCACTTTTTCAAATGTTTCTCAAGCTTCTATAGTTGACAAACCACGGTAAAGAAGGTGCGAAAACATCTTGAAGCGGAGTAAACTTTCGTTCACTTGCTAAACTACAATGTTTTATTTCAACTTACTGAAGCAGAGAAACTATCTTTGCATTCTCATTTCTGTCTTCATTTGATTGCGAAAATTTGAGGTAGGAGACAGGTTGACACTAAGAAGAGTTAAGACGAATCCTTGCCATCCTGACCTTATATAGCTATCGTTTTATACATTCTGATGACAAATGATGACTCGTTGATATCATAGAACTTACGAGTCACGTTTAACACCCTTAATCACAGTTATATTAATAAAGTAGAGCCCAGAATAAACAGCTTAGGCAGACATCATCAAAGGAACACGTGTTAATTGAACTCCTGCGGTCGCCAAATCAAACCTTTCATGAACAAACTGAATTTATCTTTTTAAATTATTCTATCCACGGGGTATCTGGGCTGGAACTATACTATTAATAGTAAACTGTCGGAATATTCTTCTTTAATGTCTAAGTAAACTTTCGGTTTATAAAAATAACTGCTGTGCAAAACTTGGAGCATTTTTGTCTTGATGACGCACGCATATATTAAAGGTTTGCGCAAGCGTGAATCAAATTGCTAATATCCTGTTTAACAAGTTTGAAACCAGTATAAAACTTGTTACGAAAGACTAACAACTTGTTTCAAACTTGTTACAAGAACTGGAAACAATATCTGTAGTCTTGTAAAATTTGAAAAAAATATTTAGAACGAGAAGTTCTTAAATTGTTACATTACAGGATCATAGTCCTGACAATAACAAGGCATGGCCCATGGCACTGAACAGAACAGAACAGAACAGAACAGGACGGAACAGAACAGAACGGAACAGAACAGAACAGACAAAATTAGTTGGGCTACCATTATAAATGTTAATTTTACTGTACAATGATGGGAAACAACTACCGAATCCCAAATTTAATTAAAAATTCACGCGGCAAAGCACGTGTCATTAAAAAATAATGCCAATATATATGTTCGTGATCTTTTCCTTTGGAAACGTAAAACTAATTTTATATTGTTTTTCTTATCTTAAAGCGTAATTATTCTATAGTACATCATCTGTCAGTGCTGATGAGATGTCAGTTTAAACCAACATTAAACCTATTTAATTCAATACTGTTTAATTTAACCGTTTAGGATTACGAGAATTAAAACGTGCACACGAAGAAAGGAATTATCATCGCAAAAATGGCCAGGAAAATTCATTTTAGTCCTAATACTTTTTTAAATCGATGCATGTAAAAATAAAGAACAAAAATATTTTCAATTAAAAGAAAATTTGAAACACTAAAGTTTTAGTGGAATAAAGTTAAAGCATTGGGGTATTCCGATTGGCTACTCATTTTTGCATGCGATATAGGTGGGAAAAGCTTAAACTCTTTTCTTATGCAACAGAACGCATAGTTCGAACAGGGAGGTTACAAGAACTGCCTACATTTCGTAAAACAAAGCTCCAGTACACATATATTGTTGATGAGCGTAAATGAATACAATGTATACTCAACATTGATAAAGTGTTTGATGATATTAAACCACTAACCTTGACGACAACACGTAATCTTTGTAGAAGCAAATCAGTAGTTTTTATTTCGCTGTGTTTCGTCCAGCAGAGCCAGAAGCGATGCATTAACAGCGAAATGAAAGAGAGCCAAGATACATTTAAATGTCGACGAGCAGGTGCATCTAAAATATAAGTGATCCCACGTCGTATTTGGGAGATTAATTTACGTTAAAAAAAGATAAACAAAATATTTGACAACTCCTGCTGTCTGTTTAATCAACATCATCAGCGATATATATTTATACACTCTCGCCTCGAAACACTTTGTGGGGGCAGAGAAAACCACAAAACATTGTTTCCTAGCTATGTTTCCCGAAGGTGGACAAACCAGGAAACATTGTTTCCTTGCCATGTTTCCCGAAGATGCGCTAACCAGGAAACATTGTTTCTTAGCCATGTTTCGGCACAAAAGTGGGCAAACCAGGAAACATTGTTTCCTAGCCATGTTTCCCGAAGGTGGACAAACCAGGAAACATTGTTTCCTATAGCCATGTTTCCTGAAGATGAGCTAACCAGGAAACATTGTTTCCTAGCCATGTTTCCTGAAGATGAGCTATAAGGAAACATTGTTTCCTAGCCATGTTTCCTGAAGGTGGACAAACCAGGAAACATTGTTTTCTAGTCATGTTTCCTAAAAATGAGCTAACCAGGAAACATTGTTTCCTAGCCATGTTTCCACACAGGGTAAAGGTGGGCAAACCAGATTACTTCTGATTACATGGGTTAAGGTACATTTGACTAACTAACAGGTTTTAATCTAAATCAAAGTCGTTAACGCCCTTACCTCTCTCGATAAACACGGAGGGGGGGGGGGGGCGCCGACCTCCTCCCCCAAATCCAACGTCCAAACTATAGGTTTTGAAAGTTTAAGTATTAATATGTTATCGTACACATGAAAAAAGTTCATTTATCTGATCGAAATACGATTGCACTGAACATCAGGTAATGTTTTTCCAATAATTGACGTTTTTTTTCCATTTTGAGATTAAAATAGTTTTAATGATATTTTATCAACTTCACTTATCAAATAATTATACAAGATGGATTTTAGGAAATATCATGTATATATCTTCAATATATTCCGTTATCTTACGAGCACGCGTCACCTAGCACTTGAGAATTTATTCTTAACTACAAAAACATACTTTAACTATAGGGCGCAACTCATAGATATCTTATATACACTAGATAGCACATCTCTTTTAGCAAAATTGAAGCCAAGAATATTCCAGCGGTTACTCCCATTTGAATAGATGGCGGCCATGTTGGAAGTTCCCACTCGCTAATAAACGCTTAAAAAACAACAATAACTTTCATCATTTAAATAGTTTGAAAATGTATTTGGAATAGGTTTAACTTAATGTTTAAGTTCCCTGTTTAAAAAATAGAAAACATACGAGTCTTCTCATTTCATGGGAATATCCTGAGTCTGCAATCACGGCTTTAATTTTTGCATTGCAGAATAATTAGATGCACTATCTAGTGGATATAAGATATCTAGGGCGCAACTACGTCTGTTCACTTTAGCCTTACAGAAAATTCGTCATTTTAAACCCCATATTTTGAGGCGAAACCAAGATTAGGACTTTTTTCTGAACGCTCTCCGGTCAAAAGTATTTATTTTTACATGTGGTTTATCACTACTAGAATCAATTGCGCAGATTGCTTGTGGAGCTACCAAATTGCCATTGGTGAAGCGGGCTGAGCTTTCAACGCAAGGAAAAAAGAACATACAAGAACTGTTGAACAATGCAAGACTGCCTCAAATAACGCGAGTTATGCTTGAAAAATAATCATTGGATGAGGCTTGACAGAGTTAGGCAACTTTACAGAAGGCAAAGTAATTGACAAAGGCACAGATCAACACTGAATCCTGGCACACTGCAAACACAAGCAAAATGCTGATAATAACTCCAGCACAATACCACTTATTACCATAGATATCTTACATACACTAGATAGTGCATCTAATTATTCTGCAATTCAAAAATTGAAGCCGTGATTGCAGACTCAGGATATTCCCATGAAATGAGAAGACTTGTATGTTTTCTATTTCTTAAACAGGGAACTTAAACATTAAGTTAAACCTATTCGAAATACATTTTCAAACTATTCAAATGATGAAAGTTATTGTTGTTTTTTAAGCGTTTATTAGCGAGTGGGAAACTCCAACATGGCCGCCATCTATTCAAATGGGTGTAACCGCTGGAATATTCTTGGCTTCAATTTTACTAAAAGAGATGCGCTATCTAGTGTATATATAATAAGATATCTATGCTTTTTACTTAAGAAACTTTGCATGAATAATGAAATATGCTATCTACGGTTATTAATCATATGTATGTAGGCGAAACTGTCACTACTTGTCACTTTATGTTTTTGTACTTGAAACTGTTGTAATTCATATCATTCTAACTTACCCGTTGAAGGCCATACAGCCGAAAGCTCGTAAAAATAGATGTAACCAGAGAGCGTAAAAAAAAACTCCATAATTGTCCAGTTTATTTTTGGATATAGTTCGTCGAAAAAACATGTTTGCGCAGAAAATGATGTTTGTATAATGCGAGGGATGTATAAAAATAACAGCCGAGGATATTCAAGATTGCGCGGGCGGCTGGACCTTGTTTTGGGAACATAAATTTTTGCTTTCCTCCCCAGAGCGCATGCACTGGGCATGCGCAGATACACGATATGATTGATTTGCAATAAAGTATATGTTAATATTATATTTGCTTTTCGAGTTCTGTTTATTTTCACACCTCGTTGTAAAATTTGTGAAGGGTGCAGGAATGAAAAGATGATAAAAACAACACAAACCTTAGACTCTTTCTTTTCTTATGCAAAAGTTCATGTCGGGGGGCAATAAATACGAGTATATTTTACAAAATAGTACCCAACGTTCAAGGCTGTCTTTCTATAAGAAATATGGCATGTATTATAAAACCTAGAAACACAGCCTTGAACTCTGTATAATTGTGTACTTTCACTCGTATTTAATCATGTCTCGTTTTGGCACCCCTGACGTGCACTTCAAAGCAACCGACGACACATTACTTGGGTTTGCGCGCTACAAATATAGCCGCAACTCCCAAACAGCTGATGGAGAAAGCTGAAAATATACATTGCCAGCGGGCGGTGTATTAATTAAACGGAGACAAAGTTCAATTTATATGATATAATTTTAGCCCATGCCCTGCTGAAATGAAGGCTAAGGTTGAGTAGTTTTGTAAACGAGTTGATTTGAATGTATCAGGTCAAACGCTAGCTATTTCTGGCGCAGTAATTCAAGCACATTTGCGCCATGATTGAACTCGTTCCCAGTATTTCGCGCGACAAGAACAACAATGTGTTTCAATACATTTACGAGTTCTCCCCAAATGAACCTTTCCTAAAAAGGGGTTGATAGAACTCCTAGGGGCTGATCGTTTTTTCGAGTAACCTCGATTCATCAGACATATTTACTGAATTTGAATACAACTGAGACGCCGTTTGGTAGCTAAATATGAAAGACTGGGTACGAGATTGATGAAGCTTGATAGATAGATTTTATCAAATAGTGCATGTACGTATATTCTCTGCCATAAGGTCTTAAAACATCTATCGAACTTTAGACATAACATGGCCAGATGGGAACATATGGGTTCCACGTGTTATCACATAATATATTACATGTATTCTAATAAAAATAACATGTACATTCTTCCTTTTTGAACTAACTTTATGACCGGTTATATGCTGCGATTTCAGATGCGATTTTCTTCTTCTGATGTATGTGAAATTATAATGTGAACGAGTGGATGAGTTAGGAATGTTTAGATGAGGGTACATAGAACTTATTTACTCGTTCACATCCACTGAAAAGACGAAAATCCCACTAGATCAATCGCAGCAAAAATTGCAAGCGTAAATTAACGGGTTTTTAAGTATTTCTGTGGATGAACACTTGTTACCGAATAGTATTTTTGCAAAAGCCTATAAAAGGGTGCGCTATAATATGGCGTATCTTCGTATACTTCTGAAGATGAAAATGATTTGAAATGTGCAGTTTAAATAGATTGTGTAGTGTATATTCATGCACAGTTTTTCAGTGAATAACCTTCGTTTTACCGAATTGCTGATAGTATAGCCTGGAAAATGATATTTCTATACATAATACATGAACAAAATGAAATTTATTCATAAAGAAAACAAAGCGTTTAAAGAAAACAAAGAGTTTGTTTTTCCCAACATCGTTCAAAAACAAATGTGTAGAATTAAGACTTAGCACGACATTAAGTGGGCGAGATGTATTCACTGGATGTACTGCGTAAACACCTATGACGTCATTACGATATCTTCCGATTATCTCGCCGAAAATCTCCGATGACGGGGAAATTATTGGATTCGCGGTTGAGTGGGTGTCGCACGCAATTTTTAATTCAGAGACCTTAAAATAGACTTCATTATCGGAACGTCGGGTCGTGCATGTAATATGTTCAGGGTCAACATTCCATAATAGCCTGAATATGACTAAATTTGGCGTGCATGGATTTTGTCAACATTAAAAATAAATAGAGCTTGCGTCGGACAAGACAGTATTCTCGCGATCAAATTAACTTGAATATTATCCTTGTGTTGGTACAATGGCCTGACTGGTCAGACCCGAATTCTTTTCTCTGTATCAATGGAAAGATCTGGTCTGTGTTTCTCAAATATCTAGCGAAAATGGACCTCATTCTAATTTTATCTAAATTTTCCGGTCAGATAGGTCGGAAGCCCAAATGTTTTGTGTTCCATTCAACAATTTGACCGTTCTGACCGTGTTAATGGAAAGCGCCCAATGTTTGAACTCAGTCATAAATATAATGAATGCATAAATATGGTATCATATTGTATTGCAAACTATTAAGCAAAGTTTACGTGTCTGTGTGGAGTTTGTTTCATAGTTTAGATAACATCAATGCAACCATAGCATGAAATAATGGTGGATCCTGGCTCTAGGATCCCAGAAAATTTTCAGACCTGGCTTGGCTGGCCGACAATTTTAGAAAGAAAATAATTTATTAGGTAGAATACTAGTAAGCTCGGCAGAAAACTTTGACCCCAAAACGTCGAGATCCCAGAAACAGAAATATTAGTTCTTGCTATGAATTAGCCTACGAGCAGGCTCTGTTCGCAGGCTAGCTATGAATGTAAACATCTTCAGCAAAGTAGCACAACCACCTTAAGCTGGAGTAATACGAGCAACAAAATTGCTGCAACTTGCAACAAAATCTGATTTCAACGTATGTTAAGTAGAAATGTTGACACATGTTGCCTCGTGATTTGTAATGTATGTGTGAACATTTTCAATTAACATGAAATAAGATTTTGTTGCAAGTTGCAGCAATTTTGTTGCTCGCCTTACTCCAGCTTTAAGTGATAGCAGAGATATCATATTTTTGCCTGTGACGGTTCTTGAGGAACAAAGAAGAATTAACACGTGGAGAATAAAACAGATTGTCTATAGAGCACAGCATGTACTCACTTGAAGCGCGTGCCAAGAACAAAGAGACTCTTCAAGTGCGCGCATGTCACTATTGTTTCAAGAAAAAGCGCGCGAAATTTTGATTTGCTCCAGCAGTCCTGACGCATGGCTTGCACGTGTACACGTTTGCTTAAGTACTCGTTTTTCATGTCAAATATTGATACATACAGTTAGAATGTTTAAGTGTATACTGACAAATATTGTTAATTCATTTACTTGGAGCAGTCTAGAATTTGAAGAAAAATTTTCGTAAATATCAGAATTATTTTGGACATCGATTGAAGGAACTTTGAAGCATTTGTAGATGGAAATGTCGAGGGTAAATGTTCTATACATTTCATATCTAGACGTAACCAGGAGCGGTTGCACAAAATAAGCGGGTCTAAAGAAATGTATGAAAAAATGTACACTGGAAATTTCCAACAAAACCTCTCAACAATACTTTTCGTAGCCTCGAGGCAGATAACTCTTATCAGTTCTAACCTTTTCCCCCTAGAGGTGCACTCTCTCTAAGTCTGATTCACACTAGCAATTTTGTCGGCGATTTTGTGTTTCTGACGGATGCAAATGAGTGAACTTGCACACAAAAGTATAGAGTCGCTTTTCAGAAGTGAACAATTCTAAGTCCTTTGCATGTCATTCATTCCATCACATTTGTCAGGAGGAGATAAATTGGCGACAGAATAGACCTTTCCCCTTATGAGTGACATTTTGATCTAGATATGCCTGGACATCACAGCTTGAAAAAGCATCACAAAATTAGTAATATTCCGAAGTTTCGTTGCGAAATGTTGTAAAATGTGGATAATATAGCCTTGCGAAGTTTACCGTTTTTCAGTCATTTTGCATTACAAATGGAAATTGATAATCAGTTTGATCATCTGATTATCAATTTCCCGTGCGTAATACAAAATGACTGGAAAACGGCAAACTTCGCAGGGCTATATTATCCACATTTTACAATATTTCGCAACGAAACTTCGAAATATTACTAATTTTGTAATGCTCTTTCAAGCTGTGATGGAATTTTTGTCCAGACTCGACTTTTTCACTCAAAAGGGGAAAGGTCTATTGCTGGGGTGAACCAGGCTTAAGCACTCTTCTCACATGTGACTGAGGTGAAATTATAACGATCAGACAACTGCATATTGCAGGAATCAAACCCTGGTCACAGAGATGAAACACACATGCACTGGCCACTGCGTCATCAACGGTCCCGCGTAACTGCAGGTGGAACCTTACAGGCTTTCCTATGGTTCCAATTCTTCAGTTTAATAAGGTAAACTTTACTGTAAATGAAGAAACTAGCGATATATTTGTTACATTGTGTTGGTTAAGATTGCTACAACTTCAATTAGAAGATGATTAGAATTAATTACGCGCAAGGAAAGCTTAATGTGTTATCAAAACCAGTTCCTGATTATGTGATGTTTCAAAATGATAAATGTTTGTTGGAATAAGTTGAATGAATTAATAAGCAAAATATTCAAAATTACCGGACAGCCACCTGTTAACATACTTGGAAAAGAATAGCAAAAGTGGCCAAAATAAAACCTTTGATCACAATAAAAAACTCTATATGTCTATAACGTTGTCAAGACGTTCTCCTATGTTATCAGTGTAAATCCCACTGTATTTATCAATTTAATTTCTTCTTTACTGGGGTAGAGACCAATTGGAGAACACCCGATATAATCTGTGCACTTGAGTGAACTTCTAAAGCAGTTATCAAGTATTTTTTGACTAGATAATGTGGACATTACATGGATATCACTCAATATACTTATCTAATCACGATATAGAATCTATAACAAAATACAAATCTTAAAACATTCCATAGCTTATCCTACCATTGTCAAGTAGTTTTATGCTTGCCTATAGTGTTATTAGTCGGAAACTAAATCACTTCCTGTCAATAAATCAAATGCTGTTTTGATTTTATTTTGGTGATTGCTTTCCAGACAATTGCAATACTTTGCTTAGTTTCTTTCAAGGCCAATTTCACGACACAATTTTGCCTAAAACTGTCGCATGCAACCTGCTTCCAACTTGAGTTGTATTCTGTAAATCAAGCACACAACTCACTTACGACAACGTGGGCGAATTGTGTGCTTGATTTACACAGTACAACTCAAGTTGTAAACAGGTTGCATGCGACAGTTTTAGGCAAAAGTTGTGTAGTGGAAATCGGCCTTTCTATTGTATGTAAGAATGCACAAACTCTGGACTATTTCTTCTAATATTAATTTGTATGAAATATGAACAGATTTTCTGTTCTGTTTTGTGTAAGTCAGGAAGTCAGTTTAATAGGGCACACTGCAAGTGTTACTCCATGGCAAAAACATTTTCAAAGCTCTAATTAAATAAGAATCAACTCTAAAATGAAAGATCTTAACTTGTGTTCAATACAGTTTCCTTCTGTTCCACATTGCATGCATGGTTTGGAACTAAATGGTTAAACACGTTTTTAAAACTCGCGCTCTTGTTGGCATGCCATGCGGTGCCATTGAAAGACAGACAATAGCAAATTAGGTCATTGTCTTTTTAAAACTTTGGCGGGAAATTCTCGTTTGTGAGTGCACGCTATGCATGGCAGGTACGAGGTGGCTGTTATACAGTGTGAACGCACTTTGAAATACTTTTATTGGGCGAGTTACTACCACAAGCAGCCTATACAAACTTGCTAACGAATAGAACTCTGATTAAACGTTTCATCTTTGCTTTTATACGATGTAAAGTAAACTTCGAGTAGAAAGAATCTACCACAAGGGACGTGTCTGTGTATTTTAAGACCGCTATCCCTACACACAGAACGCTTTTATTTTTAGAAAATTATATTTGCTTGCATACATTGCATGGTAATTTGTCGACATACATTAAACGAAAGAGTATAGCCCGTGTCCTTTTCAGTCTAAATGATATTTTAGGTATTAGGAATAATTACATGTCCAAACTCCAAAGAAGAAGACAGTTTAAAAGACATAGATTTTTGCTCATGGATATAGAGACTATTCGAGTTAAAAGGGAGATTTTTTGACCTTGTATTAACAGACAATTCTAGGTCCAGCAGGAATCGTAACAGACCATGAATGCTAAGTTATGTCCGTAGCAAAGAACGAAAGAGTTTAAAAGCTTTCTAGACAGTGAAATCTAGGATTTACAACTCAGTTCTATCTTCCTATAATCCTATCCATGGCCGTTCCAGATTGCTGAAGCCTACTCCAGCGTATCAAGACACGTGCATGAGGCCATGAGAAAATATTTACACAGCAGTTGCCATGTGTGAGAACAAAGGCGGGAGATAATTAGCCGCTATTATAAATACGAGCCGTGTAATAACTGCATATACACTTTCATCAACGGTCGAGAACAGGTGCTATCAGAGCGGGAATTTTAAAAGTTGACTATGTTGCCGTCGCTTGAAAATCACTGCATTGAAGCACATTTTGGAGTCAGTAATAAACAGATCAAGGTAAGATTTACACTTGGAAATAGAAGAATATATTGACAACGATATTGATGACAGCGTTTTGCATGACTACGGATCCGCGAGAAACGGATACGATACGGTTGTCTATTTCCTAGCCGCAAGTTTTGTATATATGATGAATACAACTAGTTTAGTTTAGTAAAGAAATGTCTCACACATGCAACAGTGAATAGCTTTGTAGACTATCCATTTAGAGTGTATATTGACTAACTGAAGAATATACGTTTTTTAGCCACAAATCTAATATCGAAGAAATAAGAACAAGAGTCGAGATGTTTCAGATTTTTCTAAATTCCCACATTTTTTTTCCAGGCGAAGAAACGTCAGTTGGAACGTGTAAGAAGACAAAGAATCAATGAAAGATTGGAAAAACTGAAGGTGATCGTCATGAAGCATCTGGGAAATGATGTGAGTTTGGATTGACAAGTCTTAGTGTGTATATCATAATGGTCCTGAAAGGTATAGTTAGATAGCCAAAAGAAGGTTAATCCTATAGCACATATACCTGTCGTAAAAATAGGACCTTTAAGCAGTAGATTCTCGATAGCTTAAACATACTGGTAGAAACGCTATAAGTTATGAACATAGGTTAATAATGCGTTTGTCCCAAGAACGAAGAAACATTCAACAGGCTGAATGCAAGTGGTCCAATATACACCAATAAATAATTGTGTAATATTTTGTTTTGAAAACAAAGATGCAGTTTTAAGAGATCAATATTAATAGCGAAACGAAAATAGATGCTTCAAGTGCAATTATAGCCATATTCTACAATTTCAAGACTTGATTAAGAGAAGCCAAAATCTGGAGTGATTAACAGCAGTTAAAATACTAAATATAGTTTAATTAATACTGGAAGTTGAGCTTGTGATAGAAGATCGTGTGGCCAAGAAAATAATCGTTTTCTTTCTCCTCTTTTTTGAATAGGTCGGATTTTACCCACCAATGGAAAAGGCAGATATCTTGGAGCTGGCCATTAGATGTTTAGAAGGGAAGGAAGAACCATGTTCTAGTGAAGAGACAGCAATACCAAACAGAAAACCATTTGAAAGACTAGAAAACATTCCCTCGCCAAACGGGAAACTAAAGCTGGAAACTACACCTATACGAAAGCAATGCTTGAAAACAACCTCAACTTCTGAACCTGATGAAAACACGACAGTCATTGGACAATTTCCCGCCGAATTTAAACCATTGTTACAGCATCCAATCAGATCGTTTAGCATGAGAAACGAGTATGATGACGCCATTCGCATGGGCCAATCAAATCAATCGCCAGTGAAGACTAATGACTCGCTAAAGAAAAATCCAATATGGCGCCCGTGGACATTATAGACCATGTGGAATAAATGTTTAATTTTATGTAAATAATGCGATATTTTTCTCCCCAAGGGAGAATATTGATTGATATTTTCGTAATAGAAAAACATGTAAATAGGTGATATTAAATTATATGCAATTTATCAAATTATGAAACAAAAACTGTGGCATTGAATTTTGGAATTGGTCACCGACAGAATTACATACAAATCACAGCAGATGAGACAAATATATAGTTTTCTTTTAAATTCTATTTTAAATTATCTTATCAATGCAAATGATTACAATATTTTAGTTTTATAAAAACATCTTCTCTACTAACTCTATACTACACCAATTATTTACAAATTGCATCAATTTAAGTTAACCATGTTAACAATATTTTCAGTACACACACATAGAAATAATTTACAAAAATAAATCTTAACAGTAAGTTCAAAATTGTTTAAGAACGAACTTCCTCTAAGCCACATGTTAATAATATATTTTGTGTTCAATGTATAGACCACAGTAAGACTTTTTTTAATGTGGTTATGACATCAACAAACGAACTTTCTGAGATTTACTCCATCTCCAGGTAGATAATCGTAATCTTATCTGTCTTAATGGGGTCTACACATTGAACACAAAATAACAGTAAGACTTCTGTAGTTTCATCAACTCTTTTCAAATTGTGCATTTATGATTATTTCACCATGGTCTCCACACGTTGGACGTGTTAGGTCCCAGTCCTCCGAACGCGGTTGATGACGTCATCATATACCGACAGTAATTTGGGCTCAACTGGTCCACAGTTGCCATGGGAACAGACGACGCAGGAAAGCCTACTGGTCGTTTATTTTCGGTAGGGTTGTAATTTGCTGGATATATAGGTATTGAGGGTATTGTGGTGGTAGGAGGAGCAATAGGGGTCGCTATAGGTCTCATGTAGAGAGACGCCTGCGGAGATCTGTTCATATCAGCGGTCGTACGTAGATTCGCGTTTTGACAATAGGATGCAACTTGTGAAAGCAACTTTGCCCGGCTGTGGTAGTCTAATCCCGTATCGGACATTAGATACCGGGTCATTTCTCCGGCACAGTCATTATATCCGGCACGATATTTCGCCAGCGAAGTCGCATCACGAAGAAAACCTTGTTCACATTTTACCGACTTCAAGTAATTGACTGTCAGATCCAAAATATCCGCCTTTTCCATCTTGGAATACAGCGAAGGCTAAAGAAAGAATAATTTAATGTAAAAATTTAGCAAAAAAAATAGACTTTTGAAGACTAAATACTAGGATTTTGGGTCATCTACACTTGGTATAACTCTGGTTGCATTTTTCCCAACTGCTCCTGGTTAGCCGTCTAATCAATGTACGAAATTCACACTGGAAATTTCCATCTACAAGAACCTTCTACAATTAGGACTAAATACTGTATATGAGGAATAAATCCCGAGTTAAGGTCCAGACACACCGGACGCGATTCGACAACGCGACGCGATTTTTCGATTTTCACTGACCGATAACTTTGATTCTAGTTTGAATTTTCCAAATATTTAGAAGCGGTATAACATTTTGAGTTATTTGGTCTACATATCTTTCAAAATTTGCTCTCATTTGGCCGTTTTATTAACTTCCAAAAACTGAAAAATCGCGTCGTGTTGTCGAATCGCGTCCGGTCTGTGTGGGCCTTAAATCAACCACAGTGAAGTTCTGCGTTCACGCCGGGTCACGGCATCATTGGGAAGTTTTTGTCACCACAGACGTGAGATAACTCAGATTACCGAGGGGGACTGAACTAAAAACTGTGTTGGTATCAGTTTGTGGTAATCTTCAACGCACATAACAAAACATAAGGTTTGAAAGTCTTTTGCTTCCTTACACGAGCGCTATAATGCAAAATGCCGCCAAAATTAGTTTTAGCAATTTTGAGGTGACGTTCGTTTTGACAAAAATATCTCTCGCTAATATCTTGCGACTTTGAGAATCAGACCCACAATCTCAGGAGTGGAAGACGCTAGCTCTACTCACAACTATAGTTTAGGAAAGCGGAACGTGTGTGCATTTCAGTGAACCCCCACAGTGTTGGGAATACAATCCGAATAAATTCAACACTACTCCATGAATGTTTGCGTCACAATAGTGAAAGTCTGATAGCAAAGCGCAAACATAAATAGCAATACAGAGATAACAAAATCCTGATAAGATCGCGCGGAAACCAATATCAAATATATGAAATATAGAAATGAAGTCAAACAACCCTGTATTTGTTTGTCTATGACGCAAAAGAAAACATTATTCGGATAATAAAACGCGATAAACATGCCGAAACTTTCAAATACGGACTAAAAGGAACACCCATTTTTCGCTTTCGGTTCAAACACCACACTTTTAGTATCGCAAGAGATCTCGCATTATCGCGGTAAGACTTTATTCCGATAATTTTATGAATTTAATAAAAACAAATGCCGGGAAACTTACATCTTTGTTTAAAGCTTGTAAAACGAGGACTTTCAACTCGTTTAAACTTTCATTGATGCGTCTTCGTCTCTGCTTCTCTATGAGAGGCTTTTTCGCCTAAAATAAGGAGAAAAATTTGTAAAATTAATATTATTATACACATTAAGAAAACTAAAATCTGAAGTTTACTTATCAAGATTATAAAACTAGTAAAATACACTTTCTAACAGCAAGGGAAAGCATGAAAATGGCAATTTAAAAAGCCAAAAGGCTATAACAAGAGACAAATCACTTTTAATGACCAAGTATATATAAAGGTGAGAATTCCCAAGCTTAATATTTAAAACTATAATACTATTATAAAGATACATCCAATAACTCGGAATGAAGATTGCTTACCTTTCTTCGTTCAGGAGACTTCAACTCTTCGTCTTTTCGTAAATTTTCCAGACCCATGATAAAAATTGGTGTTAGTTTGGAATAAACGTTTCGCCAGTGTTGTCAGAAGCTGTGTTAAGGACGACAGCCTGTGTGTGTTTGACCTACGACATGCATCGACCCAAACACTTATCAGTTCCGTGTGTGTGCTAATCGTGGGAAAATCAAGCTCACAGGCGTTATCATGCGCAAATATTTACACGTTAATTGTCTACTTGTGACCGAAGTATAGAAAGCAGACAATGACATGAATTTAAATGGCATAGACCGTGGGACTGCTCGACGGTGATTGGCTAACAGCCGCAAATGTCGCGCGACTTTGAGAGGTCATAGAACCGCGGCATTGACAGGCTTTGTGAGAAGCGTGAGACTACTCCACGCTGATTGGCTACACGTCTATTTGATTTGCTCATAACAATTGAGCCACTCTAAAGACTTTAGCTTGATAGTCGTGAAGGATAGTCATTGAGAAGAGAATGGAATTGTCTAAATACAATTAATTAATCGCATCTTTTATAATGATCAGTAATATAGTTCGATGTCTTCACTTAGGAATTAGCTTCCATCGCGCTTCATAAATCACATCTTTCAACTGCTTTTCGTAACTTTTAGAATATGGATAAACTTTATATCATATAGTTCATATACTTGGTTCATCGTGCTTGACTGTACACTGTTAGCTAAATATTGAATTTTATGATCAGCTAAAGTATGCGGTAACTGCATGTTCTAATGAAATCCTTTCTCTAAATTCCTAAACCTTTACTCGCAGACTACGGATATTTATGCATAAATTGTTAATGAGTGGAGTTGAAATCTCTCCAAGTTAATAGATCTTCACTAAGGCCATCCTCCTTCAATTCAAAAAACTTCCTTCCTCTACTCTCCGACTATGGCGGTGTGTGAAGTATTAAACTCAAGTTCTTACTTTAAAAGAGAAAGAGACCTATACATGTTTTCAATTACCAAGTCTTCCTAAGGTTGGATCTCTGTGTAGGTAGCGCGTCACAGATTCTCCGGCTAGCCTGAACTCTCGGAAGAAATTCGATGACTGTGCATCTTTTAAGAAACTTAATCTTTAGTCAACATACGAAACGTGGAACTGAAGATATAAAGTTAGTCGACCGTGCAACAGCAAACATTGTGAAATAATCTGAAGCACGAATGCATTCATCTTCCATTTTTTATCGTGGAAAATGCTAGTTATACACTTATTGATGATGTGAAAAGAGTGCTTCTGGAATGTTTTTGATTCGTATACCAACATCAATTCTACGTGAATCGCCTCAAGGCAAGAGGCTTATCTTGCACGAGTAAAACATTAAATAAAACAAAGTACTGGATTATCTCACTCGTGGCAGCGTGTGTAGGGGGTCTGGCTCAATTCATTGAGGCATTGTCTTGCTTGAATAAAATCTACAGTCAATGAAACTGATAGCAATCATAGTCCTAAAATAGTTTCCAAGATAATTCATCAGTCAAAATATGTTCTTCAGTATTAGAATATTTAAAGATTTACTTTGATCAGGTTATATGCATGTACTTACAGACTCACGCTTAGAATTAAGCAGAGTTACGTATTTACGTGATGTATGTAAGAGGCAAAACGTCTGCCAGAAAGCCGATATCTGAATATTTGTTGGAATATGTTTTCACTCGGGTTTGTCCCCAGTTGTTATGAACTTCTTGTAACAAGCTGGAGCACTATCTCAAAGCTGTTTGTCATGATATTGTGTGCATTTGACAAGATTAACAAGATTTTAATTTTCAATCTGATACGAACTTTGTTCTGCTTCGGACTGCTTGTGAACTTTGTTCTATATGCTTTGTTATATACTGTGACAACAACTTGTTACAAACTTGTACAACTTATCATAAATTGAAACAAGAAAACATGAAACAAGCATTGGGAATACTCTGCTTTTTGAGAAGATGTGGAATTTCACACATTTGGATCAGCATGAGTGCTGCTCTGGCAAAGAAAATTCTCTACTTAAGTAGTCAAGTAACCGATAAAAAATTTAGCTCGAAACGTCGACGTTTCCTGACGTTTGTTCTTAATTTGCTGATAGTTGCGTGAGTCAAACCCTCAAAAAGTAGGAAGACTTTTTTCCACCAATTCCTAGTAGTTCCGTGTGCAATGCTGAAACGAGTAAATCGGTTGCAATTGCTATATGCTTGACATGCTTGACATTCAGTGCCTAATATTGTGAGTCGGCAAAGCCAAAAGCTTAAGCGTTGCTCTCCAAAACAAGTGTTGGTTCTTAATGAGGCCTTGCTTCGTTACACATTGTATGATGGCTGGTGTATTGTCTAGTTGTCTCTTTAACAAATGATGGATAATTTACCCTCGCTTTTGTGTTGTTAACGACATACTTATATCTGATATGGACAATGAAAAATGAAATGTCCAAAAATGCTCAAGCCTGCAGAAACGTTTTGAAAGGTCACGTCTCTGTGTAGGTGGCTTCGAAACTGCACGTGAAGGAGAACCAGAGCCCTAACCTGTGGTCAATGTGAAAGATTAAGGGGGATTATGTATCATTTTTAGAAACCGATTTAAATAACAAAAAGCGGATGTAATCTAGTAACTTTAATCTATTTAAGACGCGGAATTGTGAAAGAAAAATGTCGACTTAGCACAAAATGCAATCCAAGCAATTAGGTTGTAATTAAGTTTTATGATGTTATTAATTCCTGGTGTAAAGCACTGATGAAAAGTCTTCACATTTTGAAACCCACTAGAAGGATTAAAGCGCGAGTTTGCGTGTTATATTTTTTTTAACTGTCGCCTGAAATATGAACAATCTTTCGTTGGTAGGAATACAACTACCAGAAAAATATAAGGAGATATTTTTCATGTAGTTGCTTATATTTTTCAGATCGTTGCATGCATCCCTGCCAACGAAAGCTTGTTCATATTATTGCCACCACCTACACTGGTACAGAGTCTACACACAGTTCAAGATTATATCGACTGAAATATGTCTTTCTCATGTGACATGAAAACGAGGCGAACAACGTATGGGCAATGCAAAATGGCGAAGCGGAATCGAAATTCACGGCATGGCTTAATTTAGACCAGACAGACTAAATGAGTGATACCATAGTTAATATAATAACTATGGTGATACGAATTATAGGAAATTAACATTTTAACAGGTCAATTGTGCATATATCATGTTTCAAACTTATGCTCTGATGATGCAGACGCTATATGGCCTAATGGGCAAGCTGTGGATTGATAGCCGGATGCCTGAAAAACACACAAGAATAACTTCGCTATTTTGGTAAACTGTGCCAAGATGAAATGCTTCAAAGGTGGGCAATCTGCGAAGGGGCTGTAGGGAGGAGTCTTGTGGGAGTGTGAACTGTGTAGGAGAGGTTCTTTGCTAGACACATACCAACTTCCTGACACTTAGAATGAATTTTGCCGTCATCATAACCACAAACTACAACATCTTCTTCCTGATCTTAATGAATGTAAATCTTAGAAATAAACGTGAATTTCGAGTTCCGATTTGTAAAACAAATACATTGAAGAATAGCTTCATATATAGTAACTCAAATAAACAGATCTTTTAGCATAGTTTGAACAATTCATACTATTGTGGAATTTTAACAACATAATATATGTAAAGTTTTTAAACAATTCAGCTTTTGGCTGCAATTTTCTAAACTTATTAAAAATATATCTATATGTATGTATATATCTATATCATGTGTGAACTAGAATCTAGAACATCATTATCCTTCATACTATTGTAGAATTTTAACAACATAATATATGTAAAGTTTTAAAAAATTTAGCCGTTTGGCTGCAATTTTCTAAACTTATTAAAAATATATCTATATGTATGTATATATCTATATGTATGAACTAGAATCTAGAACATCATTATCTTTCATACTATTGTAGAATTTTAACAACATAATATATGTAAAGTTTTAAAAAGTTTAGCTTTTGGTTGCAATTTTATTTGCAACTTATTAAAAATATATCTATATGTATATCTATCTATATATATATCTAGATGAACTAGAATCTAGAACATCATCATCCTTTGTGTCCTAGGAATGCTGGCGGCAGCTGGCCAAAATTATTAACAGTAAATTAAATTATTAGTGTGCATGTTATACACTAAGGTGTGTTTTGAGTATCTTGGAAAATATTTTAAGCCACTATATATATTTCAAGTGCAAAAATTACATAATTCTTTGTAGTAGCGCGACTCGAGCGATCTCTCTTTATGTATAGAAAACATGAAAAATATATCTCCAAGTGGTTTAAGATTGAGGTGTCGGCACTTCAATTTTGGATGACTACCCTTCGACGCACTTGCCATCATTGCCCAGTTTGGTCAAACTGGCAACCCAAATTCAAGTGCACTTTAGAAAAACAAGTATTTTTCCTCATTTTAAGCGTGAGAACATATATATTTAATCCTCATTCCAATACATATAGTGTACATATACAAGGATCTGAGTTCATTAGTGCGCTCGCCGCCATATCATGTTATGTTACTGGTTTAGAAATGATATTAAACATCTCTTTATGTGAATATTCTTTGTCTAAAAAACATTTTCCTGTTCAGTTTTTATTTGTTGGGAACAATATCAAAAACCTTATCTTCGCATTCATTTAATTCGAGATTTAATTTATTCGTGGAATCACAAGTAGGCCGGCGGTGGACTGGCATAAAGTATATATGTACAGTACATTGCTATCTTTTGGCATGCTTCGCGCTACAGTTGCTTCGCGCAAAGCACAGTTCAGTGTTATGCTGGATTTTACGCACAAAATATCGGTATTTTACAAGCGCAAGTTCTATTCGAATATTTCGTGTTTTACAGCAGTTTGTGTTTTCGATTTATGAAGTTAAATCTGAATTTGTGTTTTATTACAAAGGGGCAACCTGTCAATATATTGTAGTGGCAACAATACATTGACAATCTAGTGGCCATGCAGTTACCATGCATTGACCACGCACTGTGCATGCACGCATCGACTACGAGGTACTTGGCTGTCCGAAACTTCAGTGACTGCCCATCACTAACTAAAGTTACTGTTATTTATTGCACGATACCGGTCACGTTGATGTAGACTGCAAAACCTTGAGAAGAATTGGGTAGACCGTCGCAAACTCTCTCTCGCCACGAGAACGCACCGACTGTACATAAGTTTCCAGAGCAGCGCTAGAATAAAAAGAATATGCGTGATTTTCATGGAAAATTTCTGGGTAACTCTATCAGTTCTAGAAGGTTCTCTCAAGAGGTCCAAGTAAGAACCATCTATTATTGGTCTAGGAGGAATTTTTCAGTCATTTTGTGTTACGCACGGGAAATTGATACCGCTTTCTGAAAAAAGGCTATATTATCCGCATTTTACAACATTTCGCAACGAAACTTCGGAATATTACTAATTTTGTGATGCTCTTTCAAGCTGAGATGAAATTTCTGTCTAGACTTGTCTAGATCAAAATTTTGTTCATTAAGGAATAGGTCCATTGAATGAAGTGAAGTTATCATCAGTGAACTGCATGTCGTAACTATTTGGAATGAAACTACTGTGGCTCAAACCACTATCACAAAAACTGTTGTTGGGGTAGGTTATAGGAAAGAATCGAAACTTCACCTTATAAGCGTCATTCTTTCCTTTTCAGATTCGTGTTCATCAAGCCATTGACTGTAATAGTTTAGTGACCAGCCTTTAACCTGGATAAATAAGAGTAGTGATAGATTAGGAAGGATTAGGGTAAGGCTTTTGGTGGCCAGGGGGGCGATCATCCCCCCTCCCCAATAATTTCTGAAAGTCTTTGCTGAACGGTGGCTGAATAACTGTGTAACAAAGCGTTTCCAATAATTTTGCAACCATGAAAGCATTGTTAGGCTTCAGTAAAGTGCATGAAATTTAGGGCAATAAAACAAAACACGCATTTTGCAGCAACAAAAGGGTGGCAATATGATGGCAACTCACTGGTTCTGGTAATACAGTAATGGTTAGGGTAAGGTTTCTGGTTCTTGGTGCAAGGTTCGCGGTTGATATGATGTCATTACAGAGCTACAATATTTGAAGACAAACCTCGTGGGGTGACCTGAGATCTGAAGGTCCTTGAGAGAACAAATGATGAAGAACAAGAGAGTATGGTAGACTTTCACCCAGAGCGGGATTATTAGAAATATCTTCTGCTGTCTGGAATAATAATGGTCTAGGAATAAACAAGAAAAGATATTTGTTAATTACCATGTTTTAGTGAAGTGTTGCAAGCCCCGGTGCTCCGGGTCAGGGCCACCGAGAGGTTCCACAGGGCTCAGGGTAAAGTGCCCCCTCTTGGTGGGTCTGCTCCAAGCAGTAAAGTATGACCCCCCTTCTTGGTGGGTCTGCTCCAGGCAGTAAAGTATGACCCCCCCCCTTGGTGGGTCTGCTCCAGGCAGTAAAGTATGACCAGCCCCCCTCTCGATGGGTCTGCTCCAGGCAGTAAAGGAGGATGCTTCTCACCTGAAAGATCTAAGTAGTTTATAAGATTTTCCCAAGTCTGAGACACGACGACATAGAGGTCCGACGGCAAATTCAACCTAAGAATGGAAAGAGAGATATCAAATTCCTTCCATCCTTCTGTCCACTGTTCTTCTTCGTTTTCTTCTTCTATTTTCTCTCTCTCTTCATTTTTTCTTTCAATACTTCCTTCCTTTCATTCTACCTTTCCCCATCTCTCCTTTCTTTCTTTCTTTCTTTCTTTCTTTCTTTCTTTCTTTCTTTCTTTCTTTCTTTCTTTCTTTCTTTCTTTCTTTCTTTCTTTCTTTCTTTCTTTCTTTCTTTCTTTCATCCCTTCCATCCTGCTTCCCTTACTCTTTTCCTTCCTCCCTCCTTCCTCCCTCCCCTCCCTACACCCCTCTCAAAATCCCTTCCTTCTTTAAACTAAAAGATCCCCCTCACCTGTGCCATGTCAGCAGCCAGTCTCAACTTTCCTTCCTTCCAGTCCTCCCTCCCTCCCCCCTCTCTCCCTACACCCCTCTCAAAATCCCTCCCTTCCTTAAACTAAAAGACCCCCTCACCTGTGCCATGTCAGCAGCCAGTCTCAACTTTCCTCCTTCGCCCAAATTTCTCAACAAACTCACATGACGAACAAACACGTGCAAAACACGCGCTGCCATAAAATTGAGTCTAGAAAGAAAAAGACAAACTTAATCAGTCATACTTTCACCAATGGCAACGTTGTCTATGGTAGGTAAGTCTATGTCCGCTCATGCCTCAGAAATACACAATACCTGTTGACAAGAAAGTCGCCACAATTGTATAAAGACAGCACGTTTCTGTTCACATGAGTTATGAAATCCTAGTTTAAGAATTAAGAAAGAATGAGAGATTACTAACTCATGGTACAGGAAATACGATTTACCAAAGTGATTATTAGTATAGCCTAGGCCTGGGCTAACTGTAAAACCATAACCAGTAAGGAATACAAGGTTTTAAAAACTGGGCTTAGAATCTCTAGATAGATATCGAAATCCAACATGAAAGTAATACCTGTAATTCATTAATATAGGATGAACATGGTGCTTCAGGGGTATCAGAGATATTCACAGAAAGCTGAACGCTACAAAGGACAAAAAAAAGTTAAATATCTTTCCGCAAAGAATTTTTTCAGTCTGATAACAGCCGGCTGACCACCATCTGCTGCTGAAGAATTTTTATAACAGATTGCAAAACCTTACTTTGAAAAATCTTCCGAGTGAATTTTGTAAACAATTTCTTCCATTCTCTTTTGCATTGAAAGTAATAACGGTTCAACTGCATTTTCTATCAATGCGAGTAAATCCTAAATGACAGAGAAATTGTTATTAGTTAGATTTTACGAGCTCGTTCTGTCCATAGATAGCGCATCTCTTTTAGTAAAATTGAAGCCAAGAATATTCCAGCGGTTACCCCCATTTGTATAGATGGCGGCCATGTTGGTGTTTCCCACTCGCTAATAAACGCTTAAAAAACAACAATAACTTTCAACATTTGAATAGTTTGAAAATGTATTTGGAATAGGTTTAACTTAATGTTTAAGTTCCCTGTTTAAGAAATAGAAAACATACGAGTCTTCTCATTTCGTGGGAATATCCTGAGTCCGCAATCACGGCTTCAATTTTTGAATTGCAAAATAAATAGATGCACTATCTAGTGTATATAAGATATCTATGATCAGGTCTCCCACATGATCGGTTTGATAACAAATACAAGGTACACTTGACAATACCTTGAGAGCTATTGAGATTGCCTCCTTGGCATGCTTCGGGAAAGATATATTTCCTAGTATCTGAAATGCAATAACACGGTTAGATGAGATAGATAAATGAATGATTCCAGCTGCACACTAAATTTTGATCTCGGCAAGAAGAAAAAAATCCATCACCACATGCAGCTAGAAAGAGCGTCTTAGAATGAGTAAAATTGCAAAGTTTGGTTGCGAAATGTTGTACAATGAGGAAAATATAACCCTACGAAATTTGCAAATTTTGTGTTAATTTGTATTACCACGGAAATTTGCACCACTTTCGGCCCAAATGTGGTGCATTTTCCCGCGCGTAATACAAATTAACACAAATTAACTATATTTTCCGCATTTTACAACATTTCGCAACCAAACTTTGCAATTTTACTAATTTTAACATGCTCTTTCTAGCTGTGGTGATGGATTTTGTTCTTCTCGCCTAGATCAAAATTTAGTCTATAGCTGGAATTGCCCATTGGCATTGATAAATGGACAGACAGACTGACTGGATTGAAAGAAATACGACTACCTGAAAAATAAAAGAAGACAGGGATGGATCCAGCATGATCTGCATGGTAGGGGGGGTCTGCCAGCTCTGGTGCCGAGTTGTGTCGGTCATGTGTGCCGCCCGCCCATCAACTTGCTTGACTACTGCAGAGTCTTGCTGGACTACTGTATTTGAATTTGAATTGTTGTTCACTGTTCGCTTATCGTCATGTTATTACTCAAATTACTGTATCTCATTTTGTCTCCAACGTTTTTTTGCTATATCATGAAAAAGAGCACCCCCTGCACCCCCTCTGGCCAGGGCTAGGTGGGGTGCGCACCCCCGCCCCCAGTAAATCCATCCGTGAAAGAAGACCTTCGACGTTTCGAAGCGACTATATAGGGACTTTAAGATTGACGCCGTTTACGGCAAACGGCAAACTTCAAATCGCAATTTGAAGTCAACTGTTACCTGTACAAAGTTAGGGCAATTTGTGCACTAAAATTGGAGCATGAATTAGCTACTTTTAGCTGTCGAAACTGTAGGCCTTACTTTCAAAATTGATTTGAAGTTTGTGGTTAGCGGTTTGCCGTAAACGTCAATAGGCAATTTAAGCTTCACGTTTCCGGGAACGGCAGGTTCGAACTTTCTTGGCAAAATTTTCGTTAAACGTTTTCGTTTCATACTTTCTTTCTTGGTCGAAAGAATAATTATGTATTTCAGTTTTTGAAACAGCAAGTTTATTTACTCTAGCTTTTTATTGCCTGATACCGTATAATTTTTCTTTGCCTGGCGTTTGCCATATAATGCGAAGCTTAAACTCTCTATTCTTAAAGTCCCGCTACAAATTTCACGACGAAAGGTCTTCGCTTGTACTTTTCAGATATTTACATCTCTCTCAATCCGCATATGGTTTACTTCCACAAGATTCGACATACCTTAGTAGTGGCCTGGTGCATTTCATACAACATGTTTACAATAACGGAATTTTTCTGTTGGGCTCCACTGATATCCATCTCTACTTGATATGCATCAGCACTCGTTACAAGCTAGAGAAATATTTTATAGTTTTTAAATAAGCATAGTATAGTTTACCATGTATAATATAGATATATTACAGGACCTCCCTGAAAAACACTTCGTTGAGTGGAGCTTCCTAAATACTGAATTAGGCAAAAAAATGTGGGTTTCCGGTTTCCCGGCCCTACGTAGCTTTTGGACGTCGAAATCCCGACCCTAAACTTTTTTATTGGATCATGCTTGCAAGTGTTTCCACTTAGAAGAAAAAGGTGTTAGAGAATTCCTGCAAGGTGTTAGAGAATTTCCTGCGAAGATATTTTGTGAAAAATTTCCTGATAGCGGTGCCTCTGGCGCTGCAGGACATTCTCTAAGAACAGGGTTGCAAATAAATATTTGACCTGACAGGACATTTGTCCGATCACTTTTAATTTTGGTCGGACATAACTTGAATTTGGTCGGACAAAAACCAACATCACTAAATTTGGTCGGACATATATACGTCACAAGATATATATAAGTCACGAGACAAGTATGTATGGCATTCCGGCGCAACGTTAAGTAAAAGTAAATGCTAGAACGCCTCGTAAATTTTATTGCAAATGCAAATTGAGTGAATTTGCAATCGGATTTTGTCACAACAAAAAAAATGTATAATGTGACAATTTTTTATGTGATCGGACCAATGTCCGATCAAAATTATTTTTGCTCGGACATTTGCCAAATTTAGTCGGACATTGTCCGATGTAATTTGCAGCCCTAAAGAATGATTTTTTCTGTGTTGGTGTAATGTACTCAGGTGAATATGATGCTTGTGATGTTACTCTGAGTATATATCCACACCGGACAAGCATGAAAAATAAGCTTGCCCGGTGTGGATATACACTCAGAGTAACATCACAAACATCATATTCACCTGAGTACATTACACCAACAAAGAAAAAAATCATGATTATTAGATTATATCGATATCGAAGGAACTAGACTCAGTTCCGAAATATCTCATACTCGAACCGACCTGATCGCGCAGCTCAGTTGGCAGAGCATTGGGCTAGTATTCCAAAGGTCGTAGGTTCGATTCCCACCGTGGCCAGGCATATTTTTCAAGCTTGCCCCGTGTGGATATACACTCAGAGTAACATCACAAGCATAATTTTCTAAGACTATGGTGCAAGCTGATGTAAAAACCACTCTCAGTCAGATACCCACTTTGATCTCATTTTTTAAGTACTAGATGGAATCTGTTGGGTCGAATGAAAAATCTACATACCAGCTGCTCTGACTTGGCTGTATATAACTGGATTGTCTTCTCAACGTTGCGAGAGACAGAAACGCTCAAACTTGCATCCACATTCGCAACATTTAGTTCACTAAAGATAAAAAGAACAAAATAGAAATAATGTTTGTTAAGAGAGAAAGTCTACGAGATTTGGTAAAGAAGAGTTTCAAGAGTTTGCATGAGCGGCTACAATGTAATACTCAAAGAAAACAAGAGTTGCATGAAAGTTAAATACAGTGGAAGTGCAACACAACGCAAGATCAACGAGTCAAATTGTGTTTTTCGAGAAGGATTTTCTCTTGGCATGTGGCTACTACAGAACGATACTTAGAAATATGAAAACTATTTTCATACTAATTCTGACACATTAGAGAGCAGAAAAGATTATCAACAAACTACTATAATTCATCATAAAAGCTCCCACAATACCTTGCGATCGTCTTTACAATTCCCGCCACCTCGTCTCTTGATGGAGGGGCCTGGGCCCCAGCTGGAAACACCAGGTTGATCGGATCAAAAAGACGCGAAAGAGATCGGGAAAGATAAGCGTTTTCGAAACCAGACAATGAATTCTTGAGAAAATCCTCCGGACTAAACGAAGAATTAAGTTAATTAGATTAATTCGGTGTTGGAGGTAACATAAACTAAACTAACTTTATTTACACTGGATAGTTCTATAAATTCTAAACTGTTCTCCCTAGAGGTCCAGTAAGGATCATCTCTTATTGTTCCAGTGTTACTACAGAACGAAACCTAAACTAAACTAACTTTATTTATACTGGATAACTCTATCAGTTCTAAACTGTTCTTCCTGGAGGTCCAGTAAGGATCATCTCTCATTGATCCAGTGTTACTACAAAAGGAAACCTAAACTAAACTAACTTTATTTATACTGGATAGCTCTATCAGAACTGAATTCCATTCATAAAGGTAAAAGACAGATTGAATAAGATTAAAAAGTAAACAAACCTTGTGTGAGTATCTTGGTATAAATGAAAGAGACCATAAACGACATCAGCCACGCCACCAGTGTAGACATTACTTGGGTTGCCTGTGTTTACAAACTGCTGAAGACGAGTCCACAGTTCATTGTACAAGCGGAGTAACTTGGGATATTCGCCTTCAAATGCTTGTTTCAGAAATGGTGACTCTAAAAAATTGTGAGATGTAATAGTTAGGTTTCGCCAAGCACTATCGTACAGCAAATCTTTAATCAGATATACCTAAATCAGCTTACACTCTATTAGTATATGTATTTATTATACAGTAGAGAATGAGATACTGAAAAATACACACTTTTGAGCGTGAAATTTCACAATTTTTTGCTTGGGACTATATAATCAACAGAACATTACACGGTGGCTTGAAGATATGAAAAAAATATTTATCACTTATTTACTGAGACCGAGGGAAACAGTGTGTTTTGTGGACCCGAGAGTGAGAAAATAATAATAATATATGCAGTTGTAGTAGTCTTGTGTTTGGTTGCCAATAAATAAAAGAGAGATTTAGTTTATTTTGCCAACAGGTTAAGCACCGTTATAAATCCTTACTTTGAGCCGCGCCAGTAAACTCTTCTCGTAACGTAATCGTGATTGATTCCCAAAACGTTAAAATTCCACTTTTCTTGTTTTCCTTTAAAATTTCTTGCATAAAACAGACATGAGTCACTGGGTCTCTCTTCTTCGACAAAACTTTGAGAACATGATGAACCTGGAATGAATGTACAAACTGAAAAACCCATTGACCTGCGATAATCCCATGAGTTAGAGTTGTCCTGGATAAACGCAGTTCAATGCAACACTGATTTCTCAACCAGATGATATCTTCACTCAACATACAAACAAGCATACAAGCATACAAGCATACAAGCATACAAGCATACAAGCATACAAGCATACAAGCATACAAGCATACAAACAAACAAACAAGCATACAAACAAACAAACAAGCATACAAACAAACAAACAAGCATACAAACAAACAAACAAACAAACAAACAAACAAACAAACAAACAAACAAACAAACAAACAAACAAACAAACAAACAAACAAACAAACAAACAAACAAACAAACAAACAAGCAAGCAAGCAAGCAAACAAACAAACAAACAAACAAACAGACAGACAGTCAGTCAATTAAACAAACAGTTACCTTTCCACAACAACTGTAAATTTTATCCATAAGTTTCTCCATCCCAGTCCACAGAGTTGCTCTCCACATGGCCGTATTTCCTGGGGCGGGTATCGCGGCACGACCTGGAGCCGAGTTAGCTATGTGAAAAAAGCACACATGTATGTTAAACCTGATGGTAGCGGTAAACCTACCCCTAACCTCTCTATTGGAGTTCAATGATTTGGATTCTTGCACTTCACTTGGTGGAATTAATATTAGAATGTTAGGGTTTGTAATCCAAGTGAAAATATATACATTTTAAGACCTAACCAGGAACGACTGCGAAAAATGCAGCACAAGGTCCTCTGGTAGGAATTGAACCTACGGCCCTGCGAATATCTCTATTGGAGTACCTCCAGTACGTAAGACGTACGTAAGTACGGGAATTATCACACACTGTACTGACCACTATGTCAACAACTCTCACAAAACTGTATTTGTAACTGAAACTTTGATAGTTTGCTTGACAGCAGTGGGAATCGAACCCGCAAACTTCTCAGCTTGTCCGGTGTTGACACACTCCAAGACAACATCACAAACATATATCTTCACCTGAGTGAATATCGCCAGAAAAAGAAAAACTCAAGATCTCATCCAGTCACTAGAAACATACTTACTATTTTGGGCGTACATCAAATTCTGAATATCCAGAGTGTTAGCAATCGTGGACTTGAGGTCTTCTCTCAGAGATTGAACGTATGTTTCCACCGTCTGTTGTAAAGATCCCAGATTGTGGAACACCTGAAGTGCTGTCGCCACTTGGGTTTGATTCTAGAGAATAGAAAATAAATCTGATGGTTGAACTTTTACGTTGAAAGCCTATAGGAATGCAGTACGTATACCATCATCAATCCCAGTGGCTTGCCCAGAGGAAAACAACGAGCAGACCTTACAGAAAAGACGGGCCTGTCCAGACCATTATATAAGCCACTAAAAGTCGATTTACACTACACAGCTTTTACCTAAAACTTACATACAACCCTACTTACAACTTGTTGCACTGTGTATATCAAGCAAACAACTCACCCATGACAACGTAGACGAGTTGTGTGCTTGATTTACACAGTACAACTCAAGTTGTAAGCAGGTTGCATGCGACAATTTTACGCAAAAGTTGTTTACGCAAAAGTTGTAGTGTAAATCGACCTTAAGAAGCAAAGCAAGCTACTTTTTTGAAAGTCCTGTATTTACTTTGACAAAGAAATGCTTTCAAATAGCCCTGGTTTTTTTCAGGTGCACTATATTTATTTATTTATTTATTTATTAAACTTTGCCAAAAACACTTAACAGAACAGCAAATAGACATCTAGACAATAAACATGGACAAAAATGGCAGGGACACCACAACAGTGTAAACCAATTACACAGGGTGCGATAATTCGCGTACCAACGTACCGGAGGTACGCCAAATTTATGGTCTGGTACTTCTTTGTTTTTAGCCAAGTACCACGTAGGTACGCGGAAATTTACTATTCGCGTACTTACATTTCCCTTCTAGCAATAACTAGCCAACCTGCCACCACTGTATGTAGCTGAACTAGCTGAGGTCAGACAGTTAGCACCCTCGGTAAATCCACTGTAAATGAGCGATGGCATTCGAGTCACAACGTCGACGCTTTGAGAACTGTTATATTATGTTGTACAAATACCATAATTAAAGATTCATTTGTACAAAATTGCCCATACATTTTTTGCTATAAAACTATACGTAGGTATAAAAACGCATGACTCGGAAGTAGTCTTAGGTACTGTACGTCTTGACTCTTAAGTTTGTACCAGATCAGGTACGCGGCAAAAGTTGTCGGAGTACCAGTCAGGTACGGCCAAAAATATTGAATTATCGCACCCTGTTACAGTGGGCCCTATACAAAAATACACATACAGTACAAGACATATAACATACAGTACATGGACAGGAGACTAAAAACAATAAGTTAGTTCAGAACGTAAGTAACGACTAGTGTTACACTTCAGACAAATAGTCTTCCATGTCCTCGGATCTTCTTCGTCGAAGCATTCTCTCAGGGCTGTCAGGTAGTAAGTTTGTAAATCAGTTTTGAATTGCCTAATATTAATGTCAGGAGATCTTAGTGTAGTTGGTAAAGAGTTCTAAGTTCTGGATGCATGAATAAAGAAGGAGCGTATATATATTTTGGGCGTAACGTTTAACGTTTTGTTGGAATGACACGACTAACGAAATAAATACACAAAGGCATTTAATACCTGTGTTTCCATGCCTTGTGTTAACATATTTTGAGCTTGTGATGTCACTTCTTTCCTTGCATTTTTTATCCAATCAATATCTTTATCTAAAACCTACAGCAGATAAGCACAAGGAAAACGTTAAGTGCAACAAAATTTGCAACTAGATAGCATGTGTAAACTACTACACTAAAACTCCACTAACTTTACCGTCAATTCACACAAGTAACATACCTCAATTCCACTTAAATCTACACCTTCCATTAAATAACCTTTATAAGAAAAACACATGACAACAGACATTAAAACCCACTTTCCAATTTGCAATTTTTTTTCGCACAAAAGTAACAGAAAAATAAATTCATCAACTCTGATTGGTTAGTGATAATTTTCATTGCATGAAAAGATCATGCATGACACATAAAATTTCACAGAAAACACAGTTCAATTCACACCATACCTAATTCGTTAAGACTTTGGGCTGCTTTAGTAGTTTCTTTTACCCCTCCTTTGAGTTGACTTTCCAGACGTTTTGTAAGATAACTTATTCTGATCACTCTTCTTAGCAAGTCGCACGTCGTCTGGACAGAGATACGTGATTTTTATTAATTAAGTAGAGTGGGATATAGGAGTGAAGTTCAGCCTTTGCAGCATACTTTGCTGTTCCTGCTAATCAGTTGTTTAACCTTTAAGCTAGTGCATGGAAATGCACTCAGATGTGGCCTATTTTGTTATTTTACTCTGTCTAACACCAGACAATTTTACTCGTCAGGGGGAGAGTGCTGCCACTCAATGGGTTAATCAGACTATCTGCCCATACTCCCTGGGAGTTGACCCTTTAAATGGCAATGCACCCAGATGCGCCCTACTTTGTTATTTTACTCTGTCTAACGCGAGACAATTTTACTCATCAGGGGGAGAGTGCTGCCACTCAATGGGTTAATCAGACTATCTGCCCATACTCCCTGTTGACCCTTTAAATGGCAATGCACCCAGATGCGCCCTACTTTGTTATTTTACTCTGTCTAACGCCAGACAATTTTACTCGTCAGGGGGAGAGTGCTGCCACTCATTGGATTAACATGTCACTTCCCTAAGTTAAGTTTTCCCTAACCCAATGAGTGGAAGCACTCTCCCCTTGACATGTGAAATTGTCTGGCATTAGACAGAGTAAAATAATCTGGTGTTAGACAGAGTAAAATAATAATCCTGATCATTTTACTGACAAGATGTTTCTTTGGGAGGTGTCACACCCCCAACTCCCCCTAGTGACGGCCCTGGGTGTATCATGGGCAGATTTACTGGGGAGGGGGGTTTAAGAGGGGTTATACCCCCTAAAATCCCTCTAACCCCTCTTATAAAGTGTTCAACCCCACCAAAATTTTGCTTCACCCCTCCTATTTTATATGAAAGTGTTTAACCCTAACGCCTACCCCCTGCCGAAGCTCACTCCGTGGTGCCGCATGCACCCCACTAGAAATTTCCCCACCCCTCCTTTAAAATATATGAAAATCCGCCCTAGGGGTGTATCAATCAATAGTGTCTGTGTAAGAATGAATACCTGTAGTCTTCGAAGTTGGGATGTTCGCGTTCTAATCTTTTCATAAGGGTCACTTATCTGTTGATGGATCCTAAAAATTGCCATGGAAACCACATTAATTAGCAAAGTACACTTGTTAAGAAAAATAAAATTGGACAAAGAAATTTGGTTTAATTTCAAACCTCTCAATTGATAATTGTAGTGAAGTGATTCTTGATGTCATCATTTGTAAAACACCTAAAGCAATTGAATGATAAAAAAACAGCAAAATGTTTCTTTACTGCGTTGTTTCAACATGGTGTCATAATGAGCTGTATGCAAAATACAGGGAAATGAGTCAAATGACTTGTTTTCACAAGGTACATTAGGAAAGATCTCTAGATTCTGTCAAATTATAATACCTTCAAGTGTTTCAATTCCAGTTGCTTGTTGCAAAAGGTCTTCATGCCTAGTTACAACCTAAACAACAACACAAAGTATTAATATATTAACCATAATTAATGTGTAGAAAATTACGGGAACCACTAAGTATTTTAATAAAATATAAAACAACGGTAACTCCGAAAATAAACATTTTAATATAATAATATTCTAGCTTTCGACTAAGATTCAGTCATCATCAGGAATGATGCTAGGTTACATTACCTATTATATATCAATGTAATGTAACTTAGCATCATTCCTGATGATGACCGAATCTTAGTCGAAAGCTAGAATATTAAAATGTTTATTTTCGGAGTTACCGTTGTTTTATATTTTAATGTGTAGAGTGCTTCCAGTTTACTCTACCAAACATTGCAGGTTTTCCCAGGACTTCCTGGACCTCTAGGAAAGTTTAGAGCTGATTGATAATCAAGGATAATTACCTGAGAATGTAATTCCTTATCCAACAGTCGTACGCCATCTGCCAACTTTTCCAAACATTCTCCAATTGCACGACTTTGAATCACATTGTTAGCATAACCTTTGGCATCAAAATCTTTCTCAAGAAATTTTTCAAATGTTGCTGAAATATTGAGTAAAGTCTCGTAAGGATGAAAATGGGTTGTGATGTTAGGTGTTTGGGATTAGTCTGGGTGGGGTGGGGGTAGTTGAGAGTGGGGGTAGTTTGGGTGGGGTGGGAGTAGTTGAGAGTGGGTTTGGACAATCATGGTGATGATTGAAAGGCAATAATGGGGGAGCACTGAGGAAGTAGAGTGGTGACGTTGAAACTATGCAGGACGAGAGGGGGGGGGGGATAGCGAGTTTGGTAATGAGAGAGTGCGAGTGAAAATGATAGGTTGGGGGGAGTTACCAGGAATATTTTGGTTGGTGTAATAAAGATGGTATGGACGAGGATGGGTAGAATGTTGGTGGGGACTGTAGAATGGGGATATGGTGTAACATGGGTGGGGTTAGTTATGTTGGTTTGAATGGTGAAGATTTGGAAACAGTAGGTGGGGTGGAGGGAAGAGGATGGGGTTGTGAATAGTGGGTCTGGTGAAAGGGTGTGGGGGTCAGGGTGGGTTTGGTGTCGTCCCAGTTGGTGTGCACATGTTTAGAGCAACTTTCTGAGCTAGCATACACTAGACTAAAGCTTCAGAATTTACGGACCGACAAACAAAAATTCACTTTCCAGACTGCTCCGTAGGGAACTGGATACTTCTAAATGTAGCTCTAGTTATTTGCAATATTTTTAAACAAAATTTACAAAGTGTACGTAATAACTGTTTGTACAAAAAACAATACAAAAAACTTACTATCTTCTCTCAGTGTCTCCAAAACAGTTGAACTTTTCGAATTTATAGTTTCGCCGGCCATATTGGAATTTTGAATTCGCGGAAAAATGGGTTATAAGCCCATGTTACGAGTCACGAAATATATTATAATAATTAATTACTATGCAAGCATAAATTAACTATACCCAAACATAGTAGCATGATTCTATGCTTCTATGTTTCTATGATTCTATGATTCTATGCTTCTATGATTCTATGCTTCTATGTTTCTATGCTTCTATGTTTCTATGCTTCTATGCTTCTATGTTTCTATGATTCTATGATTCTATATGCTTCTATGTTTCTATGCTTCTATGTTTCTATGCTTCTATGCTTCTATGTTTCTATGATTCTATGATTCTATGTTTCTATGCTTCTATGCTTCTATGCTTCTATGTTTCTATGATTCTATGATTCTATGTTTCTATGATTCTATGATTCTATGCTTCTATGCTTCTATGTTTCTATGATTCTATGCTTCTATGTTTCTATGATTCTATGATTCTATGTTTCTATGCTTCTATGCTTCT